GCAGTACATTTGACGACACGCACATTAGAATTTGAGATAAAACATCTCCGTAAAATGAGATTAGGCATATTAGACATTTTTTTTAAATGCCTTCTGTAAAGTGGCCTACATGTCTAATGATGCACTTCCAGTGAAAGTTCATCTTCATACGACCACCCTAGCCTAAAAGAAGGTACACAGTATGTGAAAAGAGACAGAACAATATCTTAATATTTCTCAAAATAAATCACTATCTCATAAACTGCAACTCTGAAAGTATTGAATGGACTTGAAGGAAAATCCATAACCACATCAAGCTTCACGCCCGATATGAGGTATCACGCTAGCAGTTTAGCTATATATAAAATCAGATACTCAAAATATAGCACAAGTAGATAAGTGTGCTTTATATAGTACAGACCGTGTGTGAGCCTAAACTCCCCACCCTTTAGCGTTTGTAGTCCAAGTGGGGGTTCGAGCTCCCATAATCTAACTTCTCTGATCTCGACCATGTGGTCAAAGTGTATTCAAGACAATGAGATCATAAACATTTGCTCTTTCACAGACAAATTATCTAGAACTGAAAATAATAACTTGCTGTTTGCTATCTCCACAAGAGAAGCAGACAAGCTCTTTGTTACATAAAGATCTAACCCAACTCTAGGTGACTTTCTCAATATCACAACCGCTGTGGTCTATCCTAGCTCCGAGTTCCACTCCCAATTCCTACTCAGATTTCAGTGTTGATTTCTCAGCTTCCACCTTCAGACTCCACCAGATTCCTCTCTCAGATTCAACTCTCCCTTTTCAGTTTCAATTTCAGATCCCGACTGTCAGATTTCAGTCTCAGATTTCGCTTCACTCTCAGCTCCCATTCTCAGGTCTTCCACTCTGATCTCAGCTTCCACTCACAGATTACACTTCAATCTCAGATCCCACTCTCAGGTCTTCCACTCACCGATTACACTTCAATCTCAGATCCCACTCTCACGTCTTCCACTCACAGATTACACTTCAATCTCAGATCCCAATCTAATTTCACTCTCAAATACGACTCTCCACCCACGAGAGGTTGCTTCCTCTTCTTCGAACTCTCCACACTCTCCTCCTAATTCTCACCACTTCCTTGCGAAAATCACTCACATCCACATCCTATCCTGCCACCAATCCCACCAGCGTCTCCACACAATGGCACACCACACAATCTCTATCCCCAGGCCAAATATTCCTCTCCCACGTTCAAGAGCCGAGTCACCCATAGCCCGCGTGAATGCCGTTCCCGCGATAATGGGCAACGGCCTAGCTCCCATGTGCAACTTCATGCCCCGCCGCTGCCACACTTGTACAGTCTTTATTTATGACCACATCAACATCCGCCGTCCCAAATCTTCTTCCACGCACCGCCGAAGTCATCCCCCGCCGAAGACACTCTTCCGCACCTTTGCCTATCTATAACAGTCACCCCCACGCTCATAACTCACTGATCCCTGCTTTGTTTGAAACGTTTCTGGGCTCGTTGAAACAAGCGTGTTGTGCTCTTTCCAACGAGCCCCTAACTAAGTCAAACCGATAAGAATTGAGAAAGTTATGACGGTTTTACTCTTCCGCCAAAGGCGTTTGCCTATCCGCTGGCGTCCGCGTCATACACGCAGGCCGCCTTGGGCCAAAGGCCCCTCTAACTGTTAACGCCGAAGGCCCCTCTATATGTTAACGCCAAAGGCCCCTCGCCTAACCATGACAGCCACCTTCGACGCTCATAATTCAGTCATGAGTGATCCGTTTCAAGAGATCTTGGTCTCTTTGGAACCAGCGCGTCGAGTTCTTTCCAACGAGACCCGAATCAAGTCAAAACGCTAAGAATTGAAAAAGATATGCCGGTTTTACTGTTTCGCCGAAAGCCTGCAACCGCCGGAGTCGTACGTCCGCGCATAGGACAAAAGTTGAACTCCCTTCCGCGTAAGCGGAATTCCCGGCGGAGGCGAACTCTTTACGCCGAAGGCGAACGTCTACGTATCTTCCGATAGTAATAACTCACTCATTCCTCATCCGTTCCAAGCGTTTCAGGGCTCGTTAGAACGAGCTTGTCAAGCCCTTTACAACGAGACCCTAATCAACGCAAACCGTTAAGAGTTGAAAACGTTATCACGGTTTTACCCTTCCGCCGAAGGTGTTTGCCTATGCACAGGCCGCCTACGCGCAACCCGCCGAAGGCCCTCCATATCAGAAACTTCTGCCGCTCCTAACTCGGTGATGCCTTATCCGTTTCAAGAGTTCTTGGTTTCGTTAGAACAAGCGTCGCAAGCTATTTCGAACAAGACACTAACTGAGTCAAGGCGTCACACATTGAAAACATTATGAGAGTTTCACTCCTTCGCCGAAGGCCTTTTCCCGAAGGGACTTACCCGAAGGCACTTCGCAGAGGCTCTTGCCCCGAAGGCCTCTTTCCGCACCTCTTGTACCCTAACCATCACACCCACTCCTAATCTTGCAAAAACTTTCAGAAAACCCCAAACATAATTTTGCAAGAGCTTAAATCCATAATTTTAACTTTCATAAGGGTAAAAAGACATGCGAGCACAGTTTTGTGCTCACACCGTGCACCTGGAAAGAATATTGATGACAGATAGATCTACTATAAAGAGATTATTGGTCATATTAGTCTTGAAAGGAGTGCATTGGTGTATAATAGGATTCATGTAACCACCAGCTCTCTTCCCGATCAGAAAGAAGAAGCGTTGATCAAGTAGCCACGTCGTGGTTATTCGACATAACAATTTCTTCCCATCCCTCCTTTAAGAAATAAGGCCACTTTTTTGACATGGGACGTCTCTTCTATTTTCTTTAGTATATATTCTCAATTTCTTTGAAACATTTCATGAAATTGTTTGTAATTTAAGAGCAACCGAATATTAAGGACAAAGGATCTGTGCTAAATGTAAATCTAGAACCCAACGTCTTTTCTCGAGGAAGACACTCTTAAATAAGCAGCAAACGAATCGCTATGCACGACGCAGTATCAAATTCAAGATGAAGGGCTCTGCATTTTGACAGATTGATCCTTTATCGTAGAAAACTGCGCAAGATTGAGAAACAAAACTAAGATATTTCAGAGAGAACAAAGGAAAGAACGGACATCTCTCTTCCCGCTCATGAGAATTGGAAGTCTTCTCAAAAGGGAGAATTGGTAGAGTGATGAACATCGTGTCTGCAGTTAAAGAAGTAAAGGGGCATTTCGGATTCGGGTCTCTTCTCATCGTGAGGGATTTTGCCACTTATCCTTTCATCCGATGTGTCGATGTTTACCCCTCTACTGGTAGAAAGGCTCTGCTCACATGCATCTAGATAATGCTTATAATAATTGAAAATGTGTCTATTTTAGAACATATAGATTGTTTCTGCAATGTTTTATCTTAAGCTTTGAATATCACTGTCAAATTTTTAGATTTGAATTGGTTGTTGGTTGGAATTACACTACTTGCAATAAAGTACATTGAACACATTAGATGTCAACATTGGGTGCAAAATCACTCATTAGCATGTGAGATAATCACTTTTAGATAATGAAAATGGTGAAGATGCAATATTGGAATGATAGTGAGCATAATCTCAGCTTATGAAAATAATTATATTGTAATCAAAAATTTATTATTGTGAAAACAAGAGGAAGAGATGTATTATAATTGACATTGTTAGATACTAGACAATTTGATAGAAGAGAGATGATGGGATTACATGGAATGAAATAAAATGAAAGGTTTATGATTGTTTTATATTTTCTTTTCCTTTTTTTTCATGAAGAGGAAATACACATATAATTTAATAATGATTGGCTAAATCGCAACACTATATTCAAGTCATTACAAGCAACATCTTCTTTTCCATGTTTCATTGCTTCTTTGAATGAAACACTAACACAGTATGAAACTCCAGGAAAATTTGGCTTTGCAAATGTACATATGAAGATATAATTATTTTCGTTAAGAATAACATCTTGTACAACTTCGCTCCGCGCGTTTTCAATCATAAGAAAAATTAATATCATACAGTGTAAACTGCATGCATCAGAATATTCAATAATGTCTAAAGACCCGTTATCTCTAAACTTACAAATTGCAAAAATTTGATTTGTATTAAAATCATGAAAACTTAAAACAAGTGAAAATGCAAAACATGAGATGCAATCGTATATATTTAGGAAAAAAACTATTTTGAGTAAAATAACCTCATGAAATTATCATTAAACTTATAATAAACTCTTGAAATTCTCTAGATAATTACGGGGGAGGATTACTAGATGAGAGAAAAAAACAGTTGACTGTAACGATGGCTACATTAGAGTAAATTACTTAGCTGTAAGCCATATGCAAAGAATCTGAAAATGCCTCTGGCACTTAGTTGTTCTCTAATCTTCAATAGAACTTACTGGAAAAGGCGTGAAACACCATTATCGGAGAATCACCTTGAACTTTGGCAACAAAATACATGTGCTAAATACGGCGACATAAATCTATAGTTGAGGTGAGATAGCGAAGATTATCTTAGAACAGCTTAAAAAAATCTGCGTTGTATGTGGTATTATGTACGTGTATGTGACATCTTCAGTTCTCGTATTATCCTTCACGTTTCTGCTGTTAGAAACTGTACTCTATTGATAGTTAGAGCCCAGTCGAGATATATTTCTTCAACAAATTCCGTGTACACACTCCACCGAAGTACCTGCCTTTATTTGATCATGGTCCAACATTTCGAGTGGACGACGCTCCTTAACCACCGTTGTACTTACCTCACAAAGCCTGTTGATAGGCCATCAACTATGATGTTACAGAATATATTCCTCCATGGATTTTCAATGGTGCTCCTCACACCTAATCTCTGTGCATTCGGGTAAGATCAGAACACCAATACGTTGGGTGTGATGGACAATCTCAACAAACGCAATGGACGCGATCATCTGGACTTATCCACCTGATATCCATGACATCTATGCCTAGAAATGGGATCACAAAGTCTGCTTTGAGAAGGTCTACATATGCAGATCGAGCTTTCGACAACTCGAGTGCACATTTGCAGAGGGTCTGCAATTCTCCAAATCCATAAAATGGATGTCAACTCCTCTGTCTACAGATATGGAGTGTGCCCGTGGAGTCCGAGGAGTCATGATGGGGCCCAGGTTGAATGGAAGAGCACAGGGCAGGGTTCGCTGATTGAAAACCAGCTGATTTTAACGTGTACTGACTCTCCTTCTTCACTGCAGGCAGTTACGTCTCCATCTTTCAGACCATTTTTTTCCCCAGGTGGAGAGTACGTCCATCCACCACTTTCCATGGCCTCGCGACAAACGCTGATGGAAGTCCCTCAGAACGCGATCTCAGATCATATTGGGAACTCTTTTCTCTCGGCTCCTAAGGTATCAAACGACATCCTAAACTCCACGTTCTGAACATCGTAGATTCTTAATTTCGCTGCGAAGTCTATAAAGTCCTCATGCAACATTGAAGCTTCGGTCAGAAGGTCATCATTTTCTGGTACCAACATGTTCTTTCAGGTCGATGGTTCACCTTTTCCAGATCCCAAAATGAGTTGTCAATCAAGAGTTGGTCGACTTATGCTGCCAAGTCTGTAAGTCAGGACATTCCATTGATTTAGCTTGAACGAGTTGTGAGCCACTTCGAGTCTTCATTGTTCTCCGTTTATGGAAGCGTGCAGCCAATGGAACTTTCATTCTTCTCCGTCATCTGGGTTGCCAGATCCCCGAGTGGTACTAGCGAGGCAACCCACAGGTTCATAATCTAAGTATGAAAAATCCTCACCATGAGTCTGAAGTGGGCACTAAAGTGAATCGTGAATAAATGTGCAGGGCATTTTGGACATTTCTTCCACACAAACAGTGGGCAACACTTCCAAGGATAGCTTGACACTGGATGGGAGATGGACGAAGAGTTTGCAGATATCTCCAGACGTCAATTTCCACATCCCAATGGGCATACAGAAGGCTAAGGATACTCTATCTCGAAATGTTATCTCAGACTTATGCAGTGGGCCCACGAGTAACCAGGGAGCCGTCATCCATGCTCCCTCTAGCTACGAGATGGCTCTGAGCAATTACAGAAACCATTATGTCAACTGTCTTCCTGTCAATTGCATGAGAGCCAGACGAGGATGTGCAACGAACCCACGGAGTATAGCAGAGAGACTGAGGAGGATTCGCATCACTGAACGTCTGCGCAAACTTCAGGCTCTCCTGCCGCATCCTCGCTTGTCAACGCATAACAAAGATACAGCTTACATGTTGGACGAGATAATTGACTATATTGAATATCTTCAGCGTGAAGTAGAGATTCTGAAAGCAAGAAAGTGTTCTTGCGATGTTGAGGATACATTCGACGACTCTCAATAGGCAGCTAGCTGCCTGGAAGTTGTGTCTTTGATGGTGTGGTCGTTTGATCAGAACACCCGTGCACATTTAACTTGACGCATCCTTGGCATGTCGTTAATCACGAATATGGAGAGGTGCAAAGATTTGTCCACACTTTGCGATGAGATCGGTATTAAGCTCAAAACCTACGACTCTTTAAGATGAAACTCATGCAAGCGAGGCACTTTGTGTATGCTATGAATCATCTCTGGCTCCAAGATTTTTTAGCATAAATTGTTCTCAAACCTTGGATAAGCGATGGACGCAATAGAGGCCTATCGAGTGTGGGGATTAGAGAAGAGCAACTTCCTCATTTCGGAGTTGAATGCAAACAACCATTTACCTAGTTTCTCTCTGCTTCAGTAAAGGGATGTTTAATATTGTGTGCTACAGATTTAAATCGTAAGCTCTGAAAAACATTCGTTCTTCCATCTTGGTACAAAGCTAGATGCTCATACGTCATTTGAGTTTAATGAGGGAAAAATTTCGAAGGTTGATAATCAAAATTTTTGAAGATCGAAACTCATCTGTAATTTTTACACATTAGATTCTCCGTAGTACATGCTTTAGCACTGAAGTTAAATATGTTCTTGTAGAATCACATTATATGAGGAGGAAAATGATAAAGTAAGAGTGATATTATTCCATGTAATACAATATTTATTAAACTATCAAGAGAAACAAAAGACTTTAATCGAATTATGGACCTCTTACATAGTAGAGCGCTCCATCCCATGTCAAAAATTATGAACGAGTATATCCTTGTTTCATTTGGTCTAATGGTCTGCTATGCCAGCACTTCTCACCCATGTAAAGCTACTGCACACTCAAATAAAGCCTCCGATCATTCAAATAGAATGATTGGAAATGACGAGTTAGAGAAGTGTGTAGAAATGGACAGGCAATTTGCGATTGGTTGATGCCGACAGAGAGACCACTTTCAGCGATGGTTTATGAGAATTGGAAACTGGTGACAGAGCTTGAAAGATTGCGAGCATCTGATGTCGCAATTGAGCCATTTGTTTGGATGGAGTTTGGAACAATGGAGCGAAAATTGCTGAAAAAACGACAAATCCAGTTTTTTACAATGAAGTTGTAAAACGCCTGCATTGTCATCTGTTGTGACCAGATCAAGATGCCAGAAATTTTCATCTTCTCTACTATCTACTTGGCAACCTAATATGCGATTGAAACTTAATACACATGTTTATATAGGATTTCAGTATCAAGTCAAAAAGGTATCTGATAAAAACAGGCCAGAATTTCCATCTTCTCTTCTATCTACTTGGCACCCTAATTTGTAATTGAAACTATAATAGATCTGAGTATATGGGATTCCACTATCAAATCAAAAAAGTAATTGACAGAAACAGACTAGAAATTTCCATCTTCTTTACTATCTACTTGGCAGCCTAATATGTAATTGAAATTTTGATATATCTGCATATAAGAAATTTAATATATACAAACCAAGTCAATCATAGGCTATTCAAAAATAAACTGTTACGAACAGGCCAGAAATTTCCTTCTCTTCAATTATTTAAAGGTTGAACATGACTGAAATTCTATATCTGCATGTATAGAATTTTTGTTTGCAAACCAAGTCAAAAAATTTAGCGGATATCAAGTGAATTTATAATATAATTTCATGTATCAGGAGGGAAAAATATTGCATAGAGAAAAAAACGTAGTAATTTTAGTTTGTAGTCTAATGTTTGACTTAAGTCTGATCTGAATTTTTTTCTTCTTTTAGTATTTAAAGTTGTTTTGGCTTGAGTAGAACTATTCCTGTATGCTACACACATGAGAAGTATTCTCTTGTAAAAATCTTTAAAATTACAGGGTTGTGGATCAATTTTGTAAATTTACGTACTTATGAACGTTTTGAAAGTAACGAAAATCTTGGGACAGTATTGTAAATGTCTGTCCTTGTGAGTGTTTTAGAAATACACCAGATTATGGTTTAGTAAATGTATGAACTGAGGACGTTTTGAAAATAAAATTCTGTAGAATATTTAAAAATTTTAGTTTAATCTCAAAAAATTAATAACTAAAATGTTCCATTTTACATATAAAGAAATGATAAGTTATCAAATAAAGTTTTTTTGCTCTTATTTCGTGAGATACTACCGAATCTTTTAACATCACGATGGGTCATGTGGGAATCACCTAGATCAAACAATGTATATAGGTTAAAAGTATCCAAGAAGAAATCATCTATCGAATAGATTTCATCCAATGATATTTTATATAGACCAATAGACATGCGTCACCTAAAATTTAAGATGCAATCTCCAGGAATAAGTGCTTGTGGATTGTTGGGGTATAAAGAGTATGCTGCACTTGTAACAGTAACTAAAAGTGACTAACAGTATATAAAATCTATGTAATGTGATATTAGATTCTGACTTGAACATAATGCTGATTTACTCGCATAAGAGTGAAATTATGTACATGGATTGAAAGTTATGTCATGAAGCCGAGGAGTTCATCTACCAATCTTTTGCAACTCTGACATGTTTGTAATTGACATTGACTTGCCTTCAGAAACTAGAAAATCACAACAACCGAGATGGAAAAAGTACATGACTACTATTTAAAGGAAGATAATTTTTTTATTCACGTATGCACGGCTCAAATTTTGGATGAATGTTCACATAACCTCTCAATATAACAAGGGCTGGTCTTTGAAGGCACAAGTAACACATGTACATGATGAAGTATATCGTACGAATACACTGTGGAGGACTTCTATTTCATGGCAGGAAGATGACAGAGAAGAGAATTGAACTTTGGTAGAAGAATATAAACATCTGTCCACTTACAGGGACACTCCAAGTCAGAAGCTGTGCCGACAGATATCAGCTTCTAACTCTTCACGTTTCTGTGGACTGGAAAGGGATGGAGGCCGAGCAAGCCTATCTATGATGGAGTGGCAGAAAAAGCACTCAGAACACGGTGGAGTCCTTATATGGTGGCTCGGGAATAATGGTGGTCACGAAGGGAGATATCGGACAGCAGTCGGTAAAAGGCGGAAATGATTTTCTGGAGTTGCAGTGTTTGATGGATCCAGTGGTGTTCTAAAATCTTGGTAGGCAAGCGCTGCAGGCGACGATCAGAAAGAAGATCACCACAGGGTAGACGAGCAGTGCAATGACTCCCTCCCAGACTGTGAACTTCAAGTCGATGCCGGTGGTAAGAGCCGCACAGATGATCTTGTAGCCGATCAGTATCACTAGCATCAAAGGATAGAGGATGATGGCCATGATGCCGATCCACAGAGGAAAGTTGGTGCGCACAGATGCGATGAGACCGATGATCACGTAGGTGAGCAGGATGGCTAGCACTTCCGAAGGATACTCCCACGCTAGACCCTTGAAGTAAATTACGGCTAAGAAGATTGCCAGTGACATCGTGTTGTTCATCGTCAGCCGTCCGTAGGTCTATTTCCACAAGACAAGGCAATGGAAGGAGAGCAAGGTGTTAAAATGTATCGATCTGAAAGGTACTGGAATGCATGGAGCTTGGATCCACTGCGAAATGAACAATGCCACCGACTTACCTCGGCGAAGACCGTGGTTATGTGTAGCTTTCCTCTTTTGCCAGCAGAAGAGATGGTTTTGATTCCTTCACTGAGATTTAAGATCAGAGGAGCTGCCACGAAGGACACGATGAAGGGATCAACTCCGGCAGCTTTCGAGAAATCTCCTATAACTCCAACCGTGGGAATTGCGGCGAATCCTGCCACTGCTACACCAGCAATAATGTAAAGCACGGCGTAGACTATGGCCATCTCCGGCGTCATGCTGGTCTGCATCTCCCGTATTTCGTCTTCTCGTACTTCCGCGAGGAGTGATGCAATTGACAATTCAAGTTCCTGAAAAGCACAATATACACAGCACACACAGTCAGTATAGCTCAGTTTCGACCACCTATTCATCGGCACAAGTGAGCAGCCAGAATAAATGTACAGACATATTTCTTTACTGGAGGTTGCAAGGTCTCTGAATCCACAAGACTTTTAGCATGGGAACACCAGGAACACACCTTAGTTCCTGTAATGAGCTGTCCGATAGTTGGCTCTTGGAGCGTAGCATCAGGGATTTCGGCAGATGTGTGTGACCTTCTGAAGTCTCCTTTGAGTTTTCGAATCATGTGATCCATACCCTTCACAAAATCCTCTCGAGAAACTTTACCAGTCTTCTTGACGTCGAATGTTTTAATTGCGTCTATGACCATCTGTTTGGCAGGAATATCATCTTCGCTATCGAGTCCCATCGCCAGGATCAATCCTCGCAACTCGCTCACAGAGATATAGCCGGTCCCATCCGAATCTAGCTTTTTGAACAATCTGCGCTCATCGTATACGAGGCATGTAAGTGGGCAGTCTCACCTAACTGTATTTAACGAATTTCCACTCTCCATCAATACTTCTCAGAATAAAACTGAACTCAGCAACTTTCATAAGGAGACTGGCTGAATCCTATGCTCTGCCATGCCCTAGTCATTCGCTTACGCAGACGCTTCAAATAACAAAACGTTCTTCCGACGTGAACTCCACATCGGTCAACTTCTGCGTCGTTTTAGATTCCATTCACTTGAGGAGAATTTCTGCGTAGACTTTATTTGAACTGTTTGATCTTGACTGACTGCAGTTGGCCACACATTAATTCTTGTTTGACTCCGATTCATGTTTACTGCTGAACAAACTGACACATATCGTTGCGTAAGGAAGGGAGTGGTGGATCTTACTTTTCCAGAACAATTCTGTCAGGAGTTCCATCTCCCAGAACCCACGAGAGCTCACTTGGAGAAGGCAGATCAGCGAAATTATGGGACCGATGAAACGCCTGTTGGGCCCTGTAGATCAATCGTGCTTGAATCCACGGACAGAGCATCTGATGCATACAGAGAAATGAATTGAGTTAAACCTGCATGAACCATACTTGAAGTCGCACATTCAAGAGTAATATGAGCCTGTAAAGGAGGAAGTCTCATAAATTGAACCTTGAGTTGTTCACTACTGATCGCAGTGATGAAGTTATTACTTCTCCTCGCAAACGAAACACACATAGCTAAGCACAGCTCTCAATGCAAGTGAATGCAAATCAACCAGGTTACATCTTTCAGAAGATACCTGATAGATGCAGTAGCCTACTAGTGTGACCAGAGCCAAGACACCGGCTGCGAGCACGGAGATATGAATTGATCTGTCTGACCTGCCCAGCATGACAGGGAACTGTATGACCAAGTACGGTAATACAGTGAATAGCATGATCCATGCAGCCTGTCTTGTACGTGACTCGGTTGTTACTCCAGATTCTGCATTATAAGAATGAAAACTCCACATTTCAGTCCCTACAGAAAGATCGATAGTAGCCAAACCTCCCAGAGCCTAGAAATTTACCATTGCTACGCTTTTTACATATGTTCTTATATTGAAGAAGCAATAAACTCGAGAAACTGAATCTTCAAGGTTTTACTTCAGGAATTTTCTACTTCTCCATTACTTAAATTCAGCAGGACAGAGCTCGCCTTTCAGTTGGATAACAGCGAAGACTTCTGATTTTATGAATACAAAAATTGTCAGAAAGGTATGGCTAGAAGGGAATGTGTTGAGCTTGCCTTTTAGAGCACATGTTTGGGTGAGTGTTTTGTCCCTTGCTACACGAAATGCGTCGAAGTCGCAGCGGCCTACAATGATGGAACTTCCCCACACAATGCCGAGCAGAGCGATACTTGTTCCAGCCAGCACACCCATGCCCACGAGTGCTTTACTCTGTGCATCCTCTTCATTTTCAGCCAAGAATGCAACTGCACAATACCCAACGCCCACAAATCCGTGAGACTACCTCACGATCAGGAGAGAACATCTGCTTAAAGTCGATTCCTTCGAAGAGACAGTGATTAAAGTCGGTGTAGATAGACCAAGATGGTCCGATCAGACAACAGGTTTTCGCTTGTCCCGATGTCAATCGAGTCAAAACTCCCATCATAGTTGCAAACATTCACTCAAGAATAAGCCAAACATACACTTCAAAAAACCTCAACCTGCAGTTCATACGCCTGCAACTGTGAAGAAACTTTCACATCCTTTCCTGCCTTCGATTCTATGAGCTGAGTTTGTGGGACTTTAAAAATAAACATTGCTATTGTTTCAATCGCAGAAGGGCCAGAAAGGCGATACGGAGTCTGCTTCCAATGTATCCAAATCGAAGCTTGAAGAGACATGTATATGCCAATTTTTCATATTCTCTAGCTTTCAAATCAAATCAAATCACAGATGACTACATGATACCTGTAATGAGTCTAGAAGTGCGTGGTTATGAAATAAGATAGCTACCAAGCATTCACTCACCGAGGATAAGGAAAGAAGCTGGCAGTGTCTTGAGAATAGGAACAACAACGCCCGCGACAAAGCCAGGATCCAACACGGTCAACAGTAGCTGGGTTCCAGTCGTTAGGAATTCAACAGCCATGAACATTATGAATCCGTAGACCAGCAATAAAAAGGCACTTCCGGACCGAATGTTTGAGCAGGGAAGAAAACCATAACCACTCTGGCAGTCTGTTGCATTGCTGCCATCAGATACTATGAAAGATTTAAGAGTACTCTCTTGTGAACGCCATAGGACAATATCTGACGCTTCCGATGTTTCCAGATCAGGCTTTTCCGAACTGAGACTATTTTCATATGGTCTAGCGCAACACACTACGACCAAATAGAGAAGAAAAATGGTCCAGATTGAGGTCTTCATCGAAATGATGAGAGGAGACTCCATGGCAGCAGCAGAGAATGACAGGACTCAGTCTGGATCAACTCCTGAGATGGAGAGCTTCTCATGGCCTACTTATCTTGTCCTGAATCCGTGGATAACTGAAGGTGTATGAAAATTAGTACCATCATTGACCATCGTGAAATGTCGGTACAGTCATAGGGTTAAACTGTTCAACTGATTATGAAATTTTGAATTACCTTGTCAAGCTAGATGACAGATACTATACTGCACTGCCACCTATCTTGAAATAGTTCAGCGCTAAATCAGCAAATTATGCTAACAACGAATATCCTGCGTTCATTTGGCCTATGGATCGAACAAGGCGTATAGAAAGCAACAAGGAAATTCCTCAAAGACTGCAGTAAAAACGAGTATAAAATATTGTTTATCACACTCCCAAACTATCACATATGAATAGATAGTGCGTGCACTCAGATCAGAATCTAATGCATCCTTCCCACAGTTTTTGGTGACAACATAGGCAAGTAAATCAAGGCATCTGTATGAACAGTGGAAGTGAATTGTCATGACTGGTGATCGTTGACAAGATTGCACAGAAGAAATTGTAGCTGCCTTTGCACAGCCTCAATCGCATCCAAAAATGGCAGGTCTTGCATACACTTTGTTACTTTAGAGGGGAAATGTGAGTGATAATATGGTGTAGAAAAAGAGTTTTAGGAAACCTGGTTGTCTGAAGATATATTGTAATCGAGTTTCATGGTAGGTTTTTACAAAATTTGAAACTGCTTTTCCTTGTTCCGTGGTGGCAGTTCTGTCTGGTGCAATTGATTCGGACATTTCGTTAGAGAGATCACAGATTTCAACCTCAATTGTTCCATCCCATATACTTGAGTACAACCAGGCACTTGCCATGACGTGCACATGGGATTAGTGATTGCCCGACTGTCTCCAGAGTGGCCACCTTGCCGGACCCCGATATGTCTGGGCCAATGTTTTCACTCACAGGGACAACTGACAGAGACCCAGTCCACGTATTCAGCAGATCACTCAGAACATACTGTTCTTTTTGTCCATACCGTTATTCGTATAGGCGAATCTACAAAAATAGAGCGTTTTTGGGCATAATTAAATAGGTCCAGCTACCACCTTCAAGCAATAGTATATGTAATGAGAGTGCTGCACGCGATATAAGAATCACTGCAAGAATAATTTATATTGCAATGTTTGCATTACATACTTAGTTTTATCGTAAGTAGTTTGGACGACGAGATGTTGAACCCTACCTCATGCATGATCCTTGTTTCCGAATGCCTCGATCACGGCTCGATACTCTCCGTTCATGTTTTCTTACTTGGTCTTCTACTTCGACTATTAATACTCTTTCGGTACAAGCTTGTCAGGAGAATCCGTTTGAATGTTACTTGCATATTTTAGTGCCCTTATCCTTGGGCCGGAAGCCTGTCATCGATATCCTCTACAACCGGACTGGCCAGATCGAACAATTGTTACTGCACAACAGCCTGCCTGGAGCCTGCTTTCCTGATATCTCGCAAACGGCTGCACCTGTAGAAAATGTCCTTCCTTGATTCTTTACTAGTTTTCCTTCGATTGCATACTCATCACCCTTGACAGACATTTTGAGAGTCACGTCTCACCAATCGCTCAGATGCTAGACAAGTGGATTCTCACCCATGTAGAAGAACAAACAATCTCTCGAAACGGGACGTTCCCAGAGACGTACAACAGGAGTGATGAATGCGTCCTGAGAATCTGACTGAAGCTCCAAGGGGGTCGAGGTAGACATAAAACAAATGTCCGACAGAGGTCAACACAACCAAGCTGTTTCATCTTCTGTAAGGGTTTCTGAACATCACTGGAGTTCGAATAGAGCTGAAAATATTAGCCGGCCAGAAAAGCGTGTAGACTTTAAGTCTAAGTTTAAGTCTCTATCTACCAAGAAGTTAGTTGAAGATGACACAGTTGACTGTGCAGAGAGTTGAGTCTGAAGGGTTGTTGAGGAAGTGTACTCGATCTCGTGTATGGAGCTGATTAGTTTATTATACTACTGTTTGAAGGCTAAGAGTCAGAGAGAGAGAGAGCGGATTTTCTTTCGGATCTTGCAACAAGACACGTCAAATCTGGTTTGCAGGCTCAAGATAAATCGGGTTTACATCACACTATTTTCATCTGTAAGTCCTCGCGGTTATCATTTTTTGAAGTGGCGATCATACTGCATCTGAGTGTGAGGTCTTATTGAGAGCAAGTGAATCTTTCTAGCTTCACGCTATATTTATGCAGTCAATGCCACAAGAACCCAAAATAAGGCGACTTTTCTAATTTCTCTGTTAACCGTAGTCACATGTGTAGTCAGTCATTCAGAAATCTAACGAGACTATGGGGATGCTTGCATTCGTACAGAAAAACTTGAAGACTTCAATATCTAACGGAAGGAAACTCCGATTCTATCGTTCGATCGATTGAAGCTTTATAGAGTGCATGCATGCTTCAGGCTATTATTGATCGAGGGTCATTGTTTCTTTCACGTTCAAGATATTTTTGTTTTCAGAAAAATGAATTGTCTTTCGGCTGGAATAAAATAATTGTGTTCAAAAATCTGAAGCCAACACACAATCATATAGTCCCGTCCCTATATCTTAGCATCAAGCTTTACTTCCAGTTTTTCCTGTTTCTGTTCGCTCCGTGAACTTGATCTATTATTGAATAACCGTAAGATACAAGCACTCCAAAATTAGGCGTCATGCCAAAATTATTCAGGAGTAGGATCTCATTGCCACAATTGCTAGGATTGTGGTAGGACTGAGCAACCACTCATTATAGCTAATGTTCCGTATATTCACAGTCTACTAGCAGTTCTGTAACCACAATGGCTTAGATCACAAGGGCTACTCTAATTCTGCAACTTTGCTATATGTGCCTTCCTCACAGATTTGAACTTTTGTCATGACTTATACAGTGCTCAACGAGCTATCGAATCTGTCTAACAAATAAAAGGATAATGATCCCTCCAAAGCTCTCCATGTTTTCCCCTCCTGAAAACATAAGAACGTAGCCTGTGCTTGAACTTCTTCAATATATCTACGGCATTCTGCCAGATCTGAATCGGGTCTGAGGTTTCTCCATTGCATCTAATATGAGTACAGTATTCTTTGTAGGCGTGGGATGGTTAACGTCAAATCTGGTACCGCAAAACGGAAAGTTGTGGAGATTTTTAACATCTACATACATATAAGGCATAACCTCTTGATGTGAGCTCCAGGATGACGACAGAGCCATGTCGGTTGGAATCTCGGTTGTAAGAGACAATACAGTCTATGCATATAGGTGAAAAAATTATGAGATGTTGCATAAGCATAGGCTTGGCATGATGGGGGGATTCTGTATACCACGTTGTTGAACTTGGAGGATGGTTCAGGCTGAGTATCCATGCTCCTGAAGCGAATCCCGTAGATGAAAATTTTTCGAGACAGAATCGATGATGCTGGGGAAGGCTGTACATCCACGCCCTACGATCTCCAGTGGCGGCGAGATACACAAGCATAACAGTGCCCACAAACTAAAAACAGAACCGAAGTAATGATGATCAGTGCTATGAGACCTTCCCAGCAAGGAAAGCTTATGGTGATTCCTGTCGCTAAGATGTGACAAATGGACTCAAAGAAGTACAGGATCACGATCAACACTGGGTAAAGGAACACGGCCAGGAATCCAGTCAAGAGAGGAAAGCTGGACCTCACAGATGCTACTAGCCCAATAACCACAAAGACAATCAGAATTACAAGCACTTCTGATGAAAACTCCCATGCCAGACCAGTTCGCTGAAACACCGCCAAGAAAACAACGAGTGACAGCGTGTTGATCATGGTCACATCGCCGTAAATCTGTTTTCAGACAACAGCAAGATTTTAGTTAGTAGAAACCTCCAGCGCAGAACGAGGTGCTCAAAACTTCCAATATGACGAACAAAATACATGAGAAAGTCAACATTTATTGAAAGTTCAAATACTTCATTACAGCAGGACTTAAAACTCACCCGAGGAAAAATCGTATTCATATGTAAATCTCTTTTTCTGCGAGCGAGGGTGAAGGTTGAGATCCCTTCACTGAGATACAGGACGAAAGGGAGTGCCACAAAACCTACGTACAAACGAGGAATGGAGGTGGCTCCAGAAAAATCTCCAATCGCGTTGACCATGGGGTTTGCCATAATGGCTGAGAGAGCTGTGCCTCCAAGAAGCTTATACAGGCCTGGCTTAATAGTTGGGGAATGAGTCTCTAATCTCTTGATATCGTTAAGAAGTGCCTCCACTGCAATAGTTATAAGTACCTGAGAAGTAGCAGGAATTTCGGAGTCAGTTTTGTGTGGCGAGTGGAATCTGAGGATCTATGATTGGTTTCCATAAACAGAAGCGCCTATGTTTACAATCTTAAATTGTTTCTGTTTCATGAGATTTGAACAGATGAAATGGCAAGACTTCGTAATCTAGCAATGATGTGAAGATACATACCTGGTTTTCCTTTCCATCCGAAGAATTTTCGGCAAATTCACTACGCATCCATGCAGCCATACCACTCGTAAACTCTTCTTGAGAGATTTTATCGTCCCTGTTTGTGTCCAAGTTTGACATCCACTCGTCTTGAAGTTGTCGCGTGCACGTTAGTCCCAGAGCTATGAGCCAATTACCCAATTCATGCCGTGTCATGTAGCCATCGCTATTCGAATAGTACTTGTCGAACAGCCTGGGTATCAGGAGATGGCAGAATCACATAAGATTTCTCACACAAAGTAAACTGAACCCTTCTCCTCGAAGACTTCAAACTTCGTCAAAGCAGTCTGTAAAACATCAGGGATTTGCTATTTCTTACATGAAGCAGGCACAAGATGCATGTCAAAATACGGTCCGAGTACCTTCCGTTATTGCACAGACGAATTAGATTTGCTGCTTTAAATATAGAGGAAAATCTCAGATCCCAGGGGCACCACGAGAAATTGAGTATCTAAAGTAAGTAGACCTGATGTAGCTCTATGGCTACCTGCAATGAGAATTTGGGATTTCTAAATTACATGTAGATCGCTTGTGCAAAGAATCGTCACGGGAATATATGAAATATTACATAAACAGGAACTCACTTTTCCAGTAGCCGCATGTTGGGAGTTTTTCCATCTTCCATCCACCAGGAGTATTCAGACGTGTTAGAAGATGTTGGTAGTAGGCCCCCATGGAATGAAGGGCTCAACTTGGCACTTTCAACCGCGTAGAACTGAAATCGGGGACAGCAAAGCTGATCCACTCCAGGACGAACATCGGGGAACATCAGCAAATAAAAAAAACATTTCCATAATAGCATTATTGCTTCCTGGAGAAGAGAACGTTCGAATGGAAAGTCTGGAGGCTGGCTAATGTAATGAATGTATCTTTTTTTTCTGGCAAGGAGAATCAGTCGTTTTTATGATCAAGATTTTGAAATTTACATATATTGTGAGTCTGTAAGAAGCTGATATTTCTTCTCAGTTTGATTGCTACCCATGGAAAGCAGCGTCCTCAGATATATATTATAGTCTGACACTCAAAAACATTTTTACCTGGTAGATGCAGAAGGATGCAAAAAGAACCAGAGCAAGCACGCCAGCAATAAGCACGGCTCTGTCACGTGATTCTTGTGACCGACCGAGCGTTACAGGGAACTGTATTACCAAGTACGGCAGCAGTGTCAAAATCATGAACCATGCTCCTTCCCTTGCATGTGGGCTTGTTGATATTCCAGTCCCTGCATATTTTGGACGAAATGTCGCCATCACATGGTTATTTTATCACCAAATGCTGATGCTCTCTATACAACGTATAAGAGCTAGATACTTCTGTCTTACTCAGATCTGAAACTGAAATATCTGAATGTGTGCAGAAAACTACATCGAAACCAAAAGTTAAGAGATAGATACTTCTGTCTTACTCAGATCTGAAACTGAAATATCTGAATGTGTGAAGAAAACTACATCGAAACCAAAAGTTAAGGCCTATAGGATCGTATGATTTGCTCATACTAGGGATCAAAGACGTACTTGTGAGACTCCATCCCTTCGTAAGCACTCCATCCATAGCAACTCCAGTGGGATGCAGGTCACAGCGACCTGCAATTATTGAGCGTCCCCAGACATTGCAGAGAAAACCAGCAGTTGTTCCAGACAGCAGACCTATACCGATTGTCATTTGCGCTTTTGCCTCTTCCTGATCTCTTGCCCATAATAGAGCTGCGGAAGGTCAACAAAAGAGAAACCTGTCATGTTTGTTCTGCAATCCAAATTGGACGTAAACCCTTGCCGGTATCCAGAACAAGAATTGCATCCAAATTCAGCATTAATGACAAGACAGTAAGCTTGAAATACTTTGTAGCTTACATTGCGTTTACAGTATCGACCATTTTGGGAAATTTTACGTCTAGATTTTCACAATCTTGAAGCTTACAACTTTAAGTCTTCAATTCAACCCTAACACTGAAAGCACTGACTATAGATATACTCAATTCTCTGGCTTTGAGTTATTAGAAAGGATAGTGTTCAAAGGAAATGAGCCAAAGCAAAGACTTAGGCTCATTGCTCAGGTGAAACCATTCGTTGCGAAGACATCTTATGCAAACGGCAATTTTAGTCGCCATGCTTGCAAGTTTGCAGATTTTCAGACTTACACTAGCAGGTAATGTTGACTAATTGTAAACAAAGAGGACACAAAACCATAACTTACCTATGATTATGAAAGTAGCAGGCAAGGTTCTCACAACAGGAATAAGAATTCCTCCAATAAGACCAGGTCGAAGCTTGGTTAACAATAAAGTGCTCCCCTTGGAAAGAAGATCAGCAGCAAAGAACAGTATGAATCCATATATCAGCAATAGCAGTGTACTTCCCGACCTTGCAGTTGAGCATGGAAAGAAGCCATAACTATGGTCGCAATCTCCCGGATCGTTTCCTTTGGAAGATGGGGGGTAAACATTCAGAGTATCGAGTTTCGAGTGCGACATGATGATGTAAGGTTTCTCTCCTTCTGCATGCAGCGCAGAATTTTCTGAGCTGATGAAATCATCATTTTGGAATGGGAATCCGGATGAAGTCACTCTAGCACAACACACTGATACCAAAGATAGAAGGATCAATGTCGTGAAAATACGAGCTGACTCCATGGTAGCAGCAAACTCCCGAGCAAAGGTATGAAAATCTCATGCACTACTTATCTTGTATGACTCCCAGGATTTGCGGCTAACGATCAGTCGAGGAATTGCCCACAATCATGATCATGAAGACCCCGATGGGTCATACAGAACCTGCACATGGAGATAATCAGAATCATTGCGCTAGATGATGCATGCACTGTCAGTCATTCTCCAATCGATATGTGACAATTCTGTCAACGCACATAAGCATACAAGAGATACAGTGTATCATGGTTCACTGTAGTGTATAAATCTAGTCATACTCCAGTTCTTTTATCATTCTAAATAGGTATGAAATGAGCTAACAGTGATGATTTCACAGCCATCAACAGTGTGCTCACTTGGTTCGTACTTGGTCAGATATGGCCTACAAGAAATGATTCTCGAACCAGGTCCGATTCAAGACACTGTTAGAGTCAGGGACAAACAGTGCAGATTGCTCATCCAGTGTTCAGAGTTTCTAAATAAGAACCGCGTGGAAATGACAACTGGATTCTCTGATCGGGCTTTTGGCTGGAGCAGTTTTGACAAGGTTGGACATCAACATTACCAAGCTGCTGTCTCTCCTCTCTCTTCCAAGTCAACATGTAAAGATGCTCATTCCATGATCTGAACATGACAAGAATTCTTATCTGATTTCAGTGAAGCTCACATGCAAAATTCTCATGTTTCAATTTCATATTCCAGAGAATTCAGTTTGAAAAGATTCTGTCATCATATGCAGCTCAATCCTTTATATCTCAAGACTTTTCCACGGCCTTCACGTGGACCCCTCTACTTTCTGCCTACACTTGTTCATACCTCAATCTTCCACGGTGATTTTTCGTAAATTTTTGCCTCGATCATCGAATCGTTATACTCCATGCATTTCACATGGAATGGATCCATAGTTTCTTTCAGCTAAGTACCATCGTTCGTACAAAAATAGGAAGATTCCTGTAACTGCTCTCGGAAAACAAGGGATAGCCCCCGTAAGCAATCAGATACTTGATAGGTCTTTGCGGTCTTCACTTGCGGTCTTCGCGGTCTTCACTGCATCCTTGTAACGTGCAACCAACGACATATACTACTCTTTGTAAGACTGTCGAGATATTAGTAAGTAAACAATGTTCTAGATCGACTGCTGAACCCTGCGTCGGGTGCGTTCAAAAACAGAAGCTGGAGAGCAATTCGGTCGTGGGAATAAAAACGCATCATTCTTCCACTGGTAAATAATAACATAAGACCGACAGCACTCACCTGTTGACCTTCAACGTGTACTCCATATCCTGAACCGGTGAGCCCTGTTCATCTTCATCCCAGTTCATCTTCATCACAACCATGACGGCTGTTCCTCAGCTGTCTTCGTTCGAGTAGGAATATTTGCAGGAACTAATGACGCGATGTATTTTAGCAGTAGCTAGTAACCAGGAGATAAAAATCAAAACTTTCTGCACTTCCCTCGACAGTCATGCGAAATTCCTAGTCGGGTCCTCTAATAATGTACATTTCTCGCATGTGCCGACAGCAGTCGTCCAGCATTCCAACACTTTCTCCTGAACCAACCGAACAGCTTCGAACGCTTGTTTTTTGCATCCTTAAGGCTTATACCCCGGACAAAGTATGGGGGTTTTGAGCAGGTCAATGAGATGTCTGGACATGTCTCGCCTGAGCTGAATAGTGTGGTTTTCTATGATTCTGGCTCCTTTGTAATTTAGTTTTCCAGAACAGAATTCTTGTGAATATTCTAGCCAATCATGCTTTCGGTTGGGACTTGCTGTCCCATTACGATGAATATCACTTGATTTAGTTAGTGTTGGATATCCTTGTAGCGAACAAGGGCTGAAGATAACCTTTTATTAGATCTGGAATAATAATTCGATGTGGAATGCGTTGTGGTTGGGTTACATTTCCTACTAGTGACATATATATATATATATGTCACTAGTAGAGGATTGATAGCCCATACTTCAAGATAGTCTACGAAAGGAGCTAAATTTCTTCCACTTACATGGGCATGCATAGAGTTCACATACTTGGAAGTATATAAATATATGGACTACCACTTTGACATGTTGGTGAGGCACTGTATGAGGAATACTATCCTTTAAAACAGGAGTTTGCTCTTTCTTACAACATATTTTGAAATCTTTTCAAAATAATAATTTAAAAAAAAATGTTTATTAAACTCCAACGTTTTACTTCAAATTATACCAGACCATAACCATCAGCAGCCTCCTATCCTCTTCCATTCTATTATAATTTCGCCGATGTATATTTCGCTTATAGTATTCCAACTCTCCCGGTGTCGAGTGCGTAAGATGTGGAGAGCGTGGAAACGAGATGGCTGAGGTTCGTTTCGTCTACTATCTAATTGGCACTGGTTATTTATTTATACGTTGAATACTTGACGAGCTATCACTGACGTGTGTGCATTCTTGTCGCGAGTTCAACGCCAATGACATGTGTCATGTTAGTACAATAATATTTACATGAAAGAACAGGTTAGGGTCCAGGTCTCCAGTAGTATTGATGGGCATGGGTTGATACCCATTTCCAAGCTATGCACACCCTTGAACAATAACCCATGGGCCCAAAACCCATAGGCACCCAATGTTGGGCCCTGGTGTATATGCATTTCTTAGTGGACACCACTTGCGGACAAAATGTATAAGATAATGTCACTTCAGGTGATGCTTCTTCGAACGGTCAAACAATTTGTAAATAACTCATGTAGGTGCGGAGGTATATACTCCTAGTATTGGGATCTGCATGCAGAATGTTGAAATCCCAAAGGTTTAGAAGGTGGAGTTCAGTAATCATTAAAAATGAAGAGATATCATAGCACCATTAACTACACAAGAGGGAGCTTCAAGTCAGCAATTTCCAGGCCCGCTTGTATGATGTGAATCAGATAGAGCCATCTATTCCTTCCCAACTTGTATATGTACACCATTAAAATTTTGGAATGATTGGACTGCAGTAAGAACCTGGTCTTGTTGAAGCTCTCTGGTTTTCCATATGTGATCTTTGTGTCTATTTCGAATTTGACTTTGATTCACAAATCTTCCTCTCCCATATATGTGCTTCGGGAAGAATTGACTCAAATCATTGAGAGAAACTTCACACGGAGCCGAAGAAATGAAGGCACTCGAGAACCTTGTTGTTGTTTTCTCGTCAGTTGAGCATGCAAATTGAAACAGAGAGTCGTGATGTCGTTGCTACCATTATTACAATGGACGGACGACGACGGTCGTCAAGCCCCCTAGTTGCAAGTACTCGGGCCAGGACTGCGGCGACCTGTTGTTATTGTCTCGTAATAAGTTCTGTGACCCGCCGTGACACGTTATAAATGTGACCTCGTACCTTCGTGAGTCGAAGCTGCTTGGACCAGATCTGAAACTCTGTCACTTGGTCAATTTGGACCCTTCTGTCCTTGATTCTCTGAACTACTCGACAAACTGGGTCCTGTGCCACAAGAAAGTGTCCCCGACCGATCCCAAGGAAGAGTCTAGTCCATCCTCGGTGTTAATCCCGAAACAAATACACGCTCGGGCTAATGCCAAATCCCAGATTTCGGTATGCATCTTTGAAGTCCAGACAAACGATTTTCTAGGAGCAAGTTGATTTGTTGGCTTTAGTTTAGACTGAAAGGATTAATAATATCTTGATGCGACTGGCATCTGTCGAGGCACTGTAAGAGCTTGTATTAGGAATCTTCGCGAGAGAGTCTCAAATAAACGGACACAATCAAATTACTTTACTTTCATTCATATTCCAATCGTGCTTCTGCAGATGTATAAATCCTTACAAAACGTCTACTGCGCAAAATGCGAGTAAATGTCATATTGTTCCAGTTACAGTGGTTCTAGTGTACTAGTGAACTGTTCACATAATTTTGTGTGACGTGTAATCTAAGTTGTTGGATATATGGTTCTACTGAGTTCCTATATAATGTTAACTTCTGAAGATATCGTATGTTTGTACTTTGAAAAATTAAATCTACAAATCCTAATTTTTACATATTCTAAACTTGAATCTACTGTCGATAATTTTTGGTACTGATACGGATTTTCCTTCTTGCACTGTCTCATTTTAGAAACCATTAATGTAACATCTATATCTTCAATTAAAAAATTAAAATTCCAAATGTATTTCAAATTAAATTAATCACAGCAAATCGTTGAAATAATGAGGAACACTATTTTATGAGTGCAATGTTTTCAAGTATATTTTCGAGATTTGAACTCTTATTTGGACAAAGTTTGGATGAAATAAAATGTGGAATATACATTTTCGATCCGGAGACCAATATGATTTTCCTCATTACTTGGTGTTTGATTAGTGGTTTCAATATTAATTAGAAAGAGTATACTTTAATGTAACATACGAACAACTTGGATTACATTTTCTTTTTAAAGCACTCATAGTAATAATTAAGAAATATGATGGACGCCAACGAACGAGAAATTTCGCTAGTAAAAAAACTAAAACTTTAAGGAAACTGAACATTATATATATATGCTTATATGGGGTAAATTTGATCAAGATGGACTGACTCTGTCAACATGAAACGTAGAGAATGAGCAGACATGCTTCTTACTGGTATAAAATTCATGAGAAATATGGACAACACTAATCCTATATAAGTATCTAATTTCAGGAGTCCTCATCAAATAACACCAGCAGGCTTCCTACAGAGCTATACAATATCAGTTGTCTATGACAAAGATTCCAACACCAGTACATGAATTCAAGAGCTCGAAGCATAGTACTAAGAACATAAAAAAGTGACTTGATGTAGAATTTCAAGAACAATGCTTATGATGATCCTATTGAAAACTGCGAGAACAGAGGGTGTGGCAAGTCTAGTGTACGAAAGAGTACAGAAAGTGGCATGGGCAAGGAGAAGTATTTACAACAAGTACATTCGTTCAGTTCATTTGCTAAAGCTTCGCCTGAAAACAAGTTCCACGTCTTGTGTGAATAAGTTACTTTGGCGGTTGACACTCGTTGCCAAGGGCAGAGAGGTATTTTACGGAGTAGAGGTATCTCTCTAGAATGGAAGATATAACTCTCAATTCAGGGTGGCAAAACTTCGTCCACGTATATACAGAAAAAAATACAAACTGAGTGCTGTCGCACAATGAGGCCTTTCCGGCTCCGAGGACAGATTTCCAAGCCTCGAGCGGTATAGTGGCCATTGACCTCAGTCGTTCTGAAAGTCTAGCTAACATCAGTCCTGTCATATTACATGAGCGCCTCTAATCAGTCTAGCTCGGCAGCTAACTACTGTAACTACACTCAAAGCTCCTGGAACAGCTTACGTGAAACCAATTCAGCTTCCATGTTCAAGGGTCTATCGTGACCACTCTGTTTCGGACACAAGTTGAGATGATACTCGGAACTCGAGAGAAATGCATTTTGGTAGTAAGAGTGGCACGCTAACATATTCATTCATCGGTTAGCAGACGTGCAGGCATCGTAAGTGATTTGGCATTTGCATTGGCTCTTCGTTCACGGATCATTGCAAGTAGTCGAAAAACGGAATTGATGGGCTTCACGGTGAGGCATAATGGCCATGAGAAACTTTGAAGACGACAGAGTGGATGAAGGGGTGAACTGTATGAGCACAGGGTTGACGGTTGGAGTGAAGCAAGGGAAGAATGTACAGAAGTGTAAAAACAGTAACAACGAGCCTGACTCTGAACACAGAGTAAGGGCTGAGGAGTCGATGTTTGGAGGCTGGACTTATCGTGTTGTGCCACTGAACAAAAATTTCCAATGTGTAGCTCCGTTGCTCTAAATTTCGGGAGCACTCAGGTTGGAAAGGATTACGACCACAATTGATACAGGGTAAAGCAGCAGCGCCAGAAGACCGATCCAAGCAGGAAACACTGTCCGCACTGATGTTAGGATAACCGTAATCAGGTAGGAAATGAGGATCATGAGCACCTCAGGTAAAAAGTTCCATGTCAAGTCCTTGTAGTAGGCGACTGCCAAGAAGATTGCAAGTGCCAGAGTGTTGGTCATAGCCAGCTTTCTGTAGATCTGTTTGCAAATGGAACAGCAAACAAGGTCATCAAACAAGACATTATGAAATCAAGTGAACTGTCAATCACGTCTACGAAGGAGGGAACATGGACACAGTTGAAGAGAAGAAAGAATCATGGCTAACAAACCTTGTGAAAAGCAGTTGTAATGTGGCCTCTGTTCTTCCGAGCTGCAGAGATATCTGAGATTCCCTCCCCGAGGTGTAACAGCAGAGGAATTGCCACGAAGGAGACGAACAACGGAGATATGCCCGCGGCCTCGGAGATATCTCCAACAACGCCAACCACGGGCACTGATGCCAAAGCTGTAATCGCTAAGCCGGCAAGAAGGTAAATCACAGCCGAGCAAGTATTCGTTCTCTTCGGAGGAAGCGCATTTTGTGCTAACTCTTCTCGTAGTTCTCTCCTCAAGGCTCCGACACTTAAATTGATTTCCTGAGAAACAATGAATGAAAGAAGATTTAAGCTCCACGAGAAGCAGTAATTACAGGGTTAGTGATTTGAGCAGAACGTGGTTCGCGAGGTGGTAGAACTTTGATCGAAACCGTCAAGCCGATGTGGTAGCAACAAAACAGTGCCCTGCTACGAACAAAGAGCAAAGAGCAGGCAAGCATTTGTCCAGTCAGGTTTGACAAGAAAGATATTTACCATGACAGGCCAACATACCTGGTCATCTTGTTCTCTGAACTTTGGTCGGAACTTGCCCTCAGGCTCCTGTGAACGTCCCTTCTGCCACGCCTTCATACCTTTCACGAACTCCTCTTTAGAAAGTACACCATCCACCTCTATGACATCAAAGTCTGCCATCCATCTTTCGATCGTTCGTGTTGAAGGAGGCCTAAATTCACCTCTTGTTCCGTAGCCAAATATCAACGCACGCAACTCCTTTATGCTGATACGGTCGCTGTTGTCTGTGTCAAGGCGATTAAACAACCTGCATTTATAACGAAACAGAAATTGAAAATGTCTTCAAGTTTTGCCGACGGAATCAGCCCAACGCTGGTACCAAAAGCATGTGCAGTCTGCTTGATGCATAGTCTGTGGCCTCGTCACTTGCGGTCACAAAGCTCGCACAGAGGACAAAACTGAGAGACGAGAGCTAAAAAAGGTGGTAGAACTTGCAATGAAACCGTCGGTGTTGAAACTTCCTCCGGGTTTCACACCATATACACTCTCAGAGAAGATAGCAACCGACAGCAGCTCTTCTTCTTGACCTCGAGCTCTGCTGAGATCCGGTTAAGAGTAATACAAGCTAGAGAAATAAGTTTGTTCCACTTACTCATTCAGTTCACTGTCCTCGAAAACTCGTTCGTCCTCCAAGGAATTTTTAGGAACACGCCCTTTGAATGGCCTCGTATTGGTGGGAGGAGAAACGCTCGAACACATCTGAATTCAGTAGTAGATATTAGTCAAGACAATAATTATCATGAGAGAATCCTCCACCGGAATGTTATTCACGCAACCTCAAATTGCAAAGAACATTCACGACGGCAGCTCTTGCTCTGATGTCTCGTTCATTACCAGCAGCACATCCCAATCGATCTATGACTGTGACAAATGTATCTAGACCTTGCGATGCTACCTTCTGCATGACACAACGCAAGTCAAGTCCCATGAGGCAGTAGCAACCTGGTGAATCCAGAAGATTGCAAGTCCAATCAGAGAGAGCATAATAGCTGCTAGCATTCCAAAGTTAACCGAGCTCTCTGACCATCCAAAAGTCACAGGAATTTGTGCAACCAAGTAAGATAGCAGCGTGAATGCTGTGATCCATGATAAACTTCTTGCATTTTCTCCGACAGAAACTTCTCTTCCTGCAGAAATCAAAAAAGAAAATGGTGAGGTTATCATATCCAGAGGACATGATCAATATTAGTAGAGCATGTTTTGAGGCTGAAAGCTGACAGTTTTCTGTCAGCAAGAACAACTTGTCCGTTGAACTCTGAATTAAGGACGCTGATTGAAGTTCCGTGACCTTTGATCATCTTGAGATCAGCGCTAGAATGTGATTCATCAAACTCTGAGAAATCCCTATATCTGAGAACGAAGACTCCATGAGAAATCCGAAGGGTTTGTGAGTCTGACAAACTGAAACAAACTAGACAAATGGGTGATTAAGCAGTTCCATCCAAGCTTAACGTTCCTATTATCACGAAAACTCCATTGAACACTCCAGCCTCCAGACTGTGTGGAGGTGATGGCTTGGAACATCCAGATAAATAAAGGTGGACGTTTTAGGAAATCAAATGAGCGTCAAAACTGATTTTCGACAAAAAATGGGCAGTATCCATAAATTGCTCATCCGCTCACGGCGATAGCGATGCTGAAGGAAACGTCGAAGTAAGAGACATGTTTACAATACTCGTAGCCGAAATAAAAGCGCTCATTAGATTTTCAGTTGTTTGAGCAAATTAAAACTCCAAGGTAAGAAAGTCTCTGAGCTAGATGAACATGCAGAAGTGCACAAGATCGAAGTAAGTCCATGCTCAATGAATTAAGCTACTATATAACATACCTAATAAGTCCTTGCGGTTGCCCGCAACTACTGAGCCTCCCCAGACGAGACAGAGCAGTACGATGTTTGTTCCAGATAGCAGACCTGCTCCCACTTGTGCTTGAACTCGTGCCTCTTCCTTAGTTGTTGCCGGAACTGCCACTGCAAGATGCCCAAAGAGCTAAGTAGTGCAACTTCTCTGGAACAACTACCGAGTGTGAAGGCAGTTCAACTCCAAGATCAATAGAGAAAAGAGTCCCGAACATTTGTGAATGAGGATAATTGGCTATCGCATTATAAATGTAGTAAAGCTCACTACGTCAATCGTTCTGATGATAAGCAAGCTCTTCTCACTAATATCACTCGACAACTGATTTGAATGAACAAGTCTCTGAACTACAAATCGGATCACACAACAATCTTTTGGTACGTGGACCTATTGCAGAATGAAAGGATGCTTGAGCCATTTTGCTCACGAGTTCATCGGGGTTGAAAGGGACGGAAACACGGGAACTATCCACTCACCGAGTATCAGAAATGCAGCTGGCAAAGTCTTCACTAGGGGAATGCAAATGTTTCCAGCAGCACATGTACCCCCAGACAGGAGAAGATCGCTCGCTTCTGAGATAAAATCGACTGCTTTCCAGAATATGAATCCGTAAACAAGAAGTAGAAAAAGTCCTCCTAGCTTGTTTTCTGAGCATGGAAGATAGGAATAAAATTTCTGACACCTTTCCGGCCCGATTGCTGATTCCGTGGATGCAAGGTAAGGGTGTAGACCCTCCAGCTTTGAGTGCCACAAAACAATATCGACATCAGACTTTTCTGTCAAATCGTGCAGCAGATCGGGCTCTGCGGAGCTGAAAGAGTCCACGAGCCGTGAACCAGAGGAAGCAACCTCTCTGCAGCAACATGCTACAATCAGGGAAAGAAAGAAACATGCCCTCGTTGCAGTCTTCATTGTACAGATGTGGGGTGAACCCATCGCAACTGACAGTTCAAATTTTAATTCTCCCCTGCAGATGAACGATCTTCGATAGAAAAAACTAGTTGGGCGTTTATACAGGACGAAAGTAGATCGGTCGATGTTTCAACTCGGAGCCAGTGAAGGCTGTCAAAGGGGGCTGTCATGTGGAAACCTACACAAAGAAATGAGAAGATGGTCAGAGGTGAGCGAGGACAACTGTGAGAGAGTGATCTTCACTACATCCACCTCCTCGAATAATGAGGACAATGGATATATTAAACTACAATTCCAAGTGAAAGTACATAAAGGACAAATTTCCGGTATAATGGCATGAGATTCGCATTGCTCTACTTTAGCTGCGTTCACTGAGCACAATCCTTCTGGAGACGAGCATATGGTACGGACATCGAGAAAGAAATTCTTTGTGGACTGCCCCCGGAGAAAGATCTACGAGACCACGTGCTACAAAACATCACTGATAGTCTCCGGTGTAAAGCTTTGGAGCACATTCAACAATTTCACAAGAATTACCATTCTTGAGAACAACTTTTAAACAAATGTATATTTTAAGCTTCATAGTGACTCAGGTTTATCTCCGGTTTCCATACGTCCACAGCGTCAGAGGAGATTTTCATTATTATATTATTGCTCCAATATCCTCCACCCGATATCACGGTTAAGCTTACCTCAAGAGCACAAACACATGGATAAACGAACGTTTTTGCCAAATGCTGATTCGTCACTCTACGGCGACGCCTTTTTGTGCTTTTGGAGCCACAGTTCCAGCTTAAGATTTTGATAGTGTACTTGCCGGCCTCAACCATTCGCCCGTACAGTCTTACGAGGAAAAGAGTAACCCGAGGCTGAACTGGTCCGAGAGTCTTTGACAGAAGGGGCCACATGTCCCCACCGAATCTTTGCAGACATAATATCTAATAATTGGTACTCTCTGCTCTTCCTCGGTCCGCAGTCGGACGTGGAGTATGGCATGCATTATTTGAGTGCGGCGTCACTTGATAGGGCTCGAAGGGAAGGACAAATGGCTGAACTCCACCTCATTGGCCTCACACTGCCTTGCAATGCGTGGCTGTGAATCGAAAGGCCTTCGATTCATCACATCATCCCGTACAGACCTCTCTCAGTCAAAGTAGCTGGATATAATTAAGCAGAAGCAGTCTAAACTGAAAACGGGTGTCAGGAGCTTCAGTGCAGCTTGCGGATCAAATCCCGGAAGCAAGAAGCTGGATCAAGCATTATTACATTGTTAAAATTCGGCTCCCGCTCTCTATTTCTTTTGTCAGGAACCATGGAATTCCTGATACGGGTCTTCTGAGAAGTCATTGCATCATTCGTATTCTTTACTGGGGGCGGGCGTCGCGGGCGATGTGAGCTGAGGCCCCGAAGGAATTTCCCGTTGTTCACGCTGGAGCAAACTGTTGCTCACCCGCAGTCGGACGGAGCATGATGGGGAATGTGCGGAAAGCATCTTGGGAATCTCTGAGAATCGCTGCGGTTGGTGGCAGTCTGTAAGGCAAGTCCTGCCAGAAACGAAGACCGGAGAGGCCGGAGTGAGCTTTGATGGCGAGTAGAAGAAGCTCGTCGTTGGAATGCTCGGGCCACTTCTTTTGTCGTACACCATGTTTGCAAGTCAGAGCACAAATCCAACAGCTGGCATCTGTTAGGGCCCCTCTGTTAGCTTAGCGAACTCGCAATCAGTAAAGGGGCCAAGTGGATCACAAAAGAGGATGTGAATATCCCATGAAAATAAATCTAACACCCCACTCCTTTGTACTACAACCCCTTCAATACCAAGTGGTCAATCCTTTTGAACACAGTTGATAGATTCTATAGAGTTATGAACACTTCAAACAATAATATGATAGCCTTTACAGTCCATTACAGGACACTTTCCGTTATTTTTCCACAAACATGTTTAAGTTGTTGTTCATTGATCACATAACTGTGAAATTCGAATACCAGAGTGGCGACCACTTTGTTTCATAACCTTAATTTGTATATTCTCTCTTTATCAACGTAGATGTAAATCAGTTACTCTAATTCGTCATGAACCTTATAAGAGTAAAGCATAAATGGTAACAAGCACATATACCACCTTAACTTGGAATTGCGGACTAGTAATTGCACTTGGCAATTATCGAAGTCCATTCTTGCGCTCTCCAATATATAAATAAATATATATATAATATTTAAATCATAAAGGTATAATGTATTATTTCCACACACAAAATACGGCATGGGAGCAGGTATGCAACTATGGCTGTAACGCTCCTGCACCTATTGTAGAAGTTAGTCGTGGCTAGCAAAGTGGACATTCTCCACTGTCGTTAGCTCAAGTTAGGAAAAACATCGGTTAAGCCATTTTTCGGACAGAATTACGAAACGCAGAAAGCATTTTAATCGTGGTAGAAACGACAGGAGGACTTTGCCATGGGGACAAGAGTTGCAACAGTTGAAATTTTCGTCCCAGCTCTCTCTTGGAAATATGCGGACTTCGTTTGGTCAGCACCGCCTGATGAAGGGACCACTTGCTACTACTATATCCCCTCGAATGTCAAAAGTCGACAACTTGGTTCCTCGGAACTTTCTTCCTGTTGAGACTATCCGAAATATTTTGGGTCTAGACTTTAAAATATATTTCGGTTCCTCAGATAGAATTATCTACTGGACGTAAGCGATACACAAGCTAATCTTGAAAGGTTCAACGTCATGAATCATCCACTGGGAAATAGCATTTCTTTCGGAGATGTATCGGATACTGACACGCGAAAAAGGGTCAAAAATAATTTCTCAGCATGTCTGTAGATACGATTGAAAATTACGATATATTAAAATATATCCCCATTCATTATGATTCAGAGCTGGAAGATGTGTCCAAAACATTAATGATAGAGGTCGATCTATTTTGGTTTTCATTGTGTTCTTACTCTCCGGTCACATTTCGTTCGGATGAGCATGAAGATATTTATTCCATTGACTTCCTCGGCCATCTGACTGTTATCAAGGTTCGGTGAGTCACTGTGACGAAGCTCGGGCCCGCGCAATTCTATTTTATATTTTGCGAGATGGATCGCGAGAAGCTGGAGGTCCATCTTTCATCCAGGCATTCTTTCGCATTGACCACTCAGATCTATCTGGTGCCTAAAGAGTAAACACCTTTCAGTGGAGTTGTCAAACTGATTTCGTCATTTCGTTCATGCACGCTCTGCAGATGGGCCAGGGAGCGTAAGACTGCCTTTTCAAGGAAGCTATTAGTTCTTCGGTGTGTGATAAAAGGCCTGCGCAGTTACCGTGAGGTTGAAACCCCGCCCGGCCACTGTGGAGTTAAACTGCAAAGTTAGTCAATCGAAATGTCGATGATAATCGTAAAGCATCGAGTTGAGTCCTATCTCACTTCCTTCTCGTCCCTTTCCAGCATATTCTTAAGTTCCACTCTCCATAAGCCTCAGAAGAATGTAACAATTGCTAGTATAGCTCGCTAGCAAAATTCGGCTTTCTGAATGATCGAAGATTTAGGAAAGGAGTTTCCTGTGACATATTTCTTCAAGTCGGCTCGTGGCCTCACCAGGGAAGCTACGAAACCCTGTTACATCCCCTGACGACTAGAGGATGACCGGATAACAGTCGGAGATGTGCGACCGATCCATTGCAGTGCCAGAAGCAGACCCCTTATTATTCTGGTAATTCAGACAGATAAGAAGAATCGCAACCGGTCTTGACACTTAACGTGCCAATCCAAGCGAATGTTAACTTGTACAGCTGCTCTGAAAGGATCAGAGCGTTCAGGGATCCAAAGTCTCGAATGAAAATCATGCACCCGATGTGAAACATTATGTTTGTCGATCAACTCTAAAAAGCTTCCGCAATATGCAGAAGCTGGAGGATAAAAAGTTATGTTACACCCTCTGGGCAGTTACCTTGTAAATAACCTCAGTGCCGTACTGCATTCCCGTTGGGTCTCACATCAAGCCGATCCAAGAGCCAGAAAATTCGGCATTTCAAAACATTTTGGCTCGCTCTAGCTAGCTTCTGTGCTTGGAATGGGCTTATCGGCAGCCAAGTGGCCAGGTTGACTGCTGAAACGTAGAGAGTTAATAATAGAGTTACGAGGGCCTTCCTGATGTTACAGCTACCACGCTCTCAAGATGTACATTCTCTCTTAGTAAATATGGATGAATTAGCACAATCAAAGTATCTCCGAGAAGTCCCAAGCAACATTTCTGTGTTGCAGAACTGCTAGAAATGCATCCAGAGACATGCGATCGATCATCGTCGTTGCATCATTCATCTAGAAAACAGTAAAAGGCCATACAATCAGCATGATTCACGTACGGCACGATAGATTTTAGTCGTACTGATATGCTGTTGATAAAGCAATATACCTTGTAATAATTCGTTCATAAATATTTATCTTCCTGTTACTTGCTGTCCTTGTCGGAAGATTGTGCTTCTCCGACCTGCTTCCAGTAGTAGTCCCGACCGAGGATATGCGGTTCAAGTTCGAGACACTTTTGAAAAACTTGCTACAATTACAGGCATAGCTGCAACAGTTGACATTCGAAAGATGGCTGACGCAAGAAGCATCTCTGTGATGTGATGAGTGATGTCCAGCATCTGCTTTTGATGGGTCATCTGCTGAGTTCTGGGGTTTAGAGATAGAGAGTTTGTATTAGCATTTGTCCATATGATAAAACCATGTGGACAAGCATAGAATTTCTGCGTAATGTTCGGTTACCATTTTTAATGTGTCACTTTGAAATACTGTACTTTGTAACTACTTTCACCAATTAATCTAACCGATTTTTGATTATAATCAAGCTCAAAAGACATATTTCAGAAGAGATACCTAGTACTCTTCAAAGATGACATTGGACGGGGTTTGTGCCAGATTTGTCATACATGATATTCGCGTGATGCATTAAATAAAATTGAAAGTAGGAGTCGACATTCGCTCTTGTCCTTTTCTGCAGAGTTGTTGTTCTCTCTTTTCTGCAATAAATAAAATTGGATACACGACTCCTCAATGGCTCTTGTCCATTGTTGAAGAATTGATGTTGTTAGCTTTTTTCTGATATTGAAGAATTGTTCTTGATGAAATGTACTCAAAGAAGCACAAAACACCAATTAATTTTGCTCACGAACTTGAGTATGGACTTAAAATCTTAACGGGAGAACCATCCTCTAGTGTCGTTAAATCAATTTGTATCGCTTTTGTAAAGTATGTGGCATGAAGAAAAATTACAGAAGCGCAAGCCGGCTAGGATCATCAAGTGCTTTAAGATTCCTTATCGATCAAAGTTGTACTCACAGCATCTCGAAAGCCAACACTTGGCAAAGTACACTAAGTATCGTGCTATGTCAATAGACATTAAACGAAGTTGCTTTGATGCTATTATTTTCTTGAATAATATGCATGTTCATTTTGTTGATTCACGTGATCAACTATATTTTGATATCAACATAAACATATTATGCACACTTCTATTTCATTTTGAAGTTGAAAATATTTTTATTTATCAAACGTTGATACTCTTCAAGCCAATCAAATCCTACAATGTGATTGTATGTTATCAAATTCATATCAAGAATATCAAGCTTGAAAAGCTTGTCATTGGGTTGGTTGATCTTGGCTCATTGTTCAGGTGAACAATGCATGAAGTGGAATCTTTTGGATATCTTGGCGGATACAATGAGGCAAAAGTATTATTGTTTGTTCGAGGTTGCTACCACCATTTGACTTCAAAAATTTAAATAATTACTCGTTGGTTGCTAGGATTTTTTGTTGCATTCAATTCATCAATTGTTAAGAGCATTTTGTATGCACTGTATTGATTTTATTTATGTTATCTTCCTCTTTACTAACATCACATTGAAAAAAATTTGTTTGAAACGTTTGAAAAGTCTATGAATCCAATTTATACGTCTTGGAGATTTACACTCTTATCAACATGCTACAAAGATGCTTAGAATATGACAAACCAAGTACATGAAATAATGACTAGTGTTTTTAATCGAGTTGAACAAACAGTTTGTTACTTGATTTGATTTTGATATAATGCACACCAACTCGATCTTGTAATTCAAGTCGTTGTTTTTTGTATATCTCAGCTAAAAATTTTACTCGATGCTAATTGCAACAATCGGATACTTACATTGATAACAAAACTTGATCAACAAAATGCAATCTAAATGTCCAAAGATCGCAACATTTCGTTCATTATCATTGGAGAAAATGTTGACTTGGTTTTCAACTCATTGTTGTTGTCTTGTTGAGTTATCATTGAATTTTTTTGGTTTATGAACAAAAATCTGATTTCAAATCGACTGTCATGTAATGTATTGCTTTATTTTTACCAATATCAATTGTTACAGAGATCTGTTCAAAACCTTGTAGAATTTTACATTGCTAATAACACACCAATAATCCTCCTAATTTAGATTACTCTCTTGTACTCAAGATGTGATAGGAATGCAAGATCCACTTAAAGAATCCAGGAACAAGATCATGGAATCAAGTGATGTAAGAGTTTTTACAAGATTGCTAGAGAAGTTGTTGTACATTTTGTTTGAAAGTCTGTTTCATTTATTGCGAAATCATTTGATAGCTTGTATGAGGTTGAGAAAAATGTTGTGGTTTATTGTGTTGGAACCCTAGTCTTTACTCTGCTAGTATAAATATGTGCAATCAAATCACATAGGAATGATAACAATGCACCAGCAGCATCTTTATCTTCATGTCTTCCTCACAAATTTGCGACTACGTTTGCATCAAGCTTTTTGGCCTCACCATTAGACTCAGATCTCGCCTTGAAAATTTATCAACAACAAATACATTAACATCTTGGAACAAGAATAAAAAGAACAACAGATTGTTTATTAATGACAATATGTAATCTGCAAAACAGTGGACCAATCCTAAAATACCTTGATCTCCATTAAGTATGAAGTACTTCATGGAGATTTTGTATAAAGTATGGAGACTCCGTATATTGTATGGAGTACTTTAAAAAACTTTGTATTTTTGTTGGAGTCTTTACTATCTATTTTTATATTATGTTACTATCTATGTGGAATGTATATACTTTTTAATGTATCTTTCACTCGAGTTCATTATACATTGTAAGCAATTCAAAAAAAATCAAGCAATTTAAAACTATGATTATGTTAGCCATAAATAAAATTTGAATAATGAGATAATCAATTAATTTATGATAGATTTAACAATTGCCAAATTAACACATACTAGAAATAACTAATTATAATCTAAATCTGTTCAGTTAACCGAAATTGGTTGATTATAAATAGTCTAACTAAACAACCAATCTATCATTGAATGTTACCATGCACCAATGTTTAACTTGGCAAGTACAATATAAAATTTGTTTGGAGTGGATAAAGTAAAATACTACTAGCATTAATCAAATAGATCATGAAGTAGATTAATTAATTTTTTTGAAATTCGGATTTTCTTTACATTCAAATTTTATCAACTTTTTCATTTTCATAAAATTAAAAATTCCATCTTATAAGCTTCTACGATTATTTATGAGAAAAGATACTTTCAAAAAAAATTAGCCATTATAAAAAATCTACTTTGAGACCAGAGGTCCCAACGTTGGACTCTGAGAGACCTACGTGATGTCGTATCATACGGTGGAATGTCAGTCGTATGGGTTTTGGGGAGGTTAGAAATACTCATGAAGAAGCTGCAATACGACGATGTACATACATACGACATGGTACTTATAACTACGAAGACGTAATGTTGGAGTGTTGGACGTACTGTTGAAACAAGATCCATGGCTTCGCCGTGAAGATTGATGCTAAACATGGAGACCGAAATTGTGTACGATATATGCAAAGACGGGTCGGAGAGCCAGATTGTCTCAGATCCGTGATTCAAGCGCTGTCTCATTCATAAACGTGAAACCTCTTCCTTAGTTAGTCACATTCTGTCTACGGAGTCTTGATTAGCAACGGAGAGGCTTCACGTCATTGTGACCTGAAACATCGTTTGATGGTAGCGACTTAGCGCTTTTTCGAAATACAGGTGATGACTTTCTATATTTCCAATTTTTCGATCTGGCCAGAAAATCTGAATCGCGCAAATGTCTGATTCCTAAGGCTCGTATGGCCTGAGAAATCCGATACTGGTTTTAGAGAAATATAACGCGTATGCCTCGTGATCGCTCGGTCTGCAATTATTTGTCACACGTCTGAGTTCGTATCGGAGAATGTGTCTATGATGACATATAAAATTATGAAGTGTCTGGTGAAGTGCATGGGAACAGGAAATAATATAACAGGCGAGCTCGACGACGCGGTGGGAATCAAACTTCGCAGCAGCATCTCCGAATTTGATCAAACAAACTCGGTTAAACTAACTCCTTTAATCCACATGGATAAATCCAGCAATTTAACAGGATTCTCTCGTTTCACCTCGCACACTTCAAATTAGCAAGATGAATCAAATTTAATCTAATCTTGGCTTACAAATTCGTGTGGGTCTATTTAAGGCACTAAGAAAATGGTCCTCAAGATATGAAGAAAATGTGAGAGTAGTGAGAAGCTTTGTGTACTACTGGATCATGCTTAAGGTTTAAAATTGAATACCCTCTTCTCACCTGTCCAGTCCAGCTCAAACCTTTTGGCATGAAAATCATGTGATTTTCAGGTCTGAGGTTTTAAATGCACTCAGGCGCCACTCAGCAGCTTGCAGCCCTCATGCCCACTATAAGCGTGCCTTATGAAAAGTGATAACTAATTAATCTTATTCATGCACCACTTCACTGCCACGTTTTTTGCCTAGATTTATTGCTTTGCAATACATGCTTGTAGTAGTCAAGTTTTTTTTCCAGTCAGATGGTACAGCTTCCCCATCCTCACTATATAATCCTCATCACCATTCACATTCCAGCATTCAGACATCTTTCTCAGCCTGCTGTGGCAATCAGCAAGCTCCGCTCAGCTGATTCAGTCGGCTACGCTTGCGATTGTACGGAAGAGAAAGGTTGCCTGAATTAGAGATCCAAATCCCAGGTACCAAACGAGACAAGTAATCATCAAGCAGCTCTTTGACATGTTCAACTAGAATTGGAAAAGTGTGCTTCAAACTTTTCTTGAGTGGATGGTTGACTGCAACTTTATGCTAATCTGGGCATCCCAACCTTCATTGGCAGGTTTCTCACGGCTCTCATACTGAACGAGCGCAGCCAGCTAGAATGGCATCATCATCATCAGCTCAGCTCCGAAACGCCGTGTGTTTCTCCGTTGCATTGATCCTTCTGATTCAGATGGATGCGCAACTGGCAGTTGCAGCACCTTCTGCTCCTGCGGCCGCTCCAACTCTTTCTGCCAATGCTCCCGTTACCGCAACACCGGACGTGGCCCCAGCACCTCCGCCTAAGAAGAGCCTCACCTTCACCCCCGTGGCTGCTCCAGCTGCCGGACCATTGGGCTCTCTTATCTCCGCTCCTTTGTCTGCTCCTGCCACTGCCCCTGCCCCTGGTCCACTGGCTAACGCAAAGGTACTTGTGATTAGCTGATTGATGCACTCCTGCAAAACATGTGATTCATTTATAACTTCATTGATGGAGTATGAGAAGGGTGCTAAAAAGGAAGTTCTTGAATGTATCGTTCGAATATAGTACGATACTGACAAAATTCATTTGGCTGCATTCAGAATGCTGGAATGAAGATGGCAGTCACTTCTGGGTGGACTACTCTTCTTATTTCTTCCAGCGCTTTGGTGGTATCTGCTATGATCTAGGTGGTGTTATCTTTTTTTTATTAGAAAGGAGAATAATCGATTTACAAACACAATACGCCAGAACTACGACTGGATCAAACCTCTGGGAAATTTGATGTGAGTTAGTCTTGAACACACGAACCTGCACTTTGGTTTGTGTGATTTAATTCAAGTTTTTTAATTCTAGATGTATGCACACGTCAACACTCTGGGTGTCTAGTGCATCTATTTAATTCAGTTGCAGGTTCAGTCTTGGTTTCGAATTAAGTTACACAGAGAGTAGCTAGAGAATCAAGAATGGCGACATTCGTTCATCTTTCACAATGCAATTTTTATGAAATTCATTTTTAGAGGTGAGCTGGCCAAATCTGTAGAATGAGGCATCAACTCAAGATGGCTAGGACAAATCTAGATACGAGTTTTGAACCTGTAGGTTGAAATTCGCAATTCACGTACTCGGTTCATGCTAGCAGCCGACATTATGAAGTTGCTGGTTTGCCCAAAAATAAAAATGTCTATATATACCATCTTTGATCTTAGTTCCATGGATTTCTGTGATCAATCACAAACTGAAGTATCTGAAAACGCGTTTAGTTTCGTAGTTTCATATCGTGGTATATAAGATTATTCAAAATTTGCTCAGATAGCGATTTGATGTGATGTGTGTCTACAGATGAGAGCCTATTAACTAGAATATACACAGGAAAAGAGAAGGGACTCATGACCGGGTTTTCAATCTGAATCGATGTATTCTTAGTCAGACTATCAGTTAGCCCATTAACACCAATTCAAGCTGCCAAGCAGTTTCGTTTTTGCTGCAAATTCTCGATGCACATCGATCATTTCATGCTTTTCACTGACTGGCAGGTGAAGACGTATAGATCTTGGAGATGTCACAAAGTGGAGCCAAATTGGTTTCGTTTCTGGCAACAGGAATTCTGCTGGTCCATGGAGGATCAGACAAAGACCATGATATTCAGCTTCATTCTCAGTAGAGATAGAGGTATCAAAATAAGAATCCTTCTTCTGAAATATCTAGCCCACTAACACCAATTCAAGCTGCCAAGCAGTTTCGTTTTTGCTGCAAATTCTCGATGCACATCGATCATTTCATGCTTTTCACTGACTGGCAGATGAAGACGTATAGATCTTGCAGATGTCACAAAGTGGAACCAAATTGGTTTCGATTCTGGCAACAGGAATTCTGTTGGTCCATGGAGGATCAGACAAAGACCATGATATTAAGCTTCATTCTCAGTAGAGATAGAGGTATCAAAATAAGAAGCCTTCTTCTGAAATATCTATCCCATATCTGAATACTAAATCCACTTCTTTGTTGTTCAAAATTTGAAATGTTTAGCCACACGTTAGTGCATCAAAATGTAGAGGATAGCGTCATGTCTGCCAAAATCCACAAACAAAAGTGATTTATGCAGACCTGTGGTTCTCTTCATGCCTGGACATCTCTGTGGACGAATACGAAGGACGAAGTGTACATTTGAAGTCGGGAATATAGAGTTCCTCAATTAATTGAGAGTGATAAAAAGTAGGACTAATCCATTGGCAGTTGCATGCTGCAGAAGAAGGAACAACTTGTGGCAGTATAACGCAGTTCATATTGTCAAGTATAGAAAATCACTACTTTGGCAGAGGACCAATCTTTCTTAACCTTTATAAAATGAGTGTTTAGATTGCTCGGGTGAATGGCCGTAAGGGATCATCTTTCGACGTCCTAATTTTTTAAGAATATAGGAATAGAAACTGACACGCTCTTCTCATGTTTGTCTAAGTAAGCAAGCTTTGCGAGACCATAGTCACCATACTCATCTTCGTACCAAAGTTCTTCGTACTATTTCAAGATTGCCAAAGTGCTCTGCAACTTGCAGTAGCTAGAGACCACGAGTAGACTGTTTAAATGAACTTTTGATGCAGTCTTAGTCACAAACTTTTCAGAGAACAGTTTCACATTGTGGTGCTTTTTATTGCAGGATAATGTAGCATTTGAAGGCTAGCGAAAACCAAAAGTAAACTTGAGTTCATCACTCCCTGATTGGGAGTAACTACACTAGATCTTAAAAGCTGTGAGAGATAGAGCTCATGCTGCATGAGTTCGCGTTGAACTCTTCATAAGCTGAAAGTGCAATCCTGCTTCGGATACAAAGTTTGATCAAAATTAAAATCTTGAAAGTTTTCACTGGATTATATGAAAGACTGCGACATAAGAAGTACGGTGCACATACTACATGCACACGAGAACATGTCACCAAGTACTGCGTGAATGGTAAATCAACTCGCAGGACTTGACCGATGTTCACCACTTATTGCTGTGATGTATCTGTGACTACTAAGACATCAGTAATACGGACTATGAAGTTCTCACGAGAATCTGGATATTGCCGTCCTAATTTGACGTTGGTACATGGTCTCAAATTCCATAAAAGGCATGTCTCCATGCTAGCAGCCTGCTCCAAGTAGTCCTAATATACAGAGGCAGCTACCAAAAAACCAGAAACCAACACGATTTTGCTCCATCCTGAAATGCTCAGCATCTCTCCAGCGTTCTGAAATGAAGCGAGCATATACGTGAAATCACCTCAGGATTCTACATGCATTAATTACTTGTTCAATTATGCACCTTTGACTACTCTCATTTTCAAACCACCGGCATCACCGATCAAAGTCGTCTAATATGAAATCAGATACAAATTTTCTCGCCCATCAAAGACATTTCATCCTGTACTGCAACCTATCCACAGGGATGCAGGCAAGAGTCGAAGAGAATTTGTTCTTACCTTCTGTTGGGATGGAGCTGGGGCACGTGCAGCGATGGCAAGTTTAGGTGCAGCTGAGACGGGAGAAGGTGATGGAGTGGAAGAAGGTGTGGAAGATGGCACGGCTGCAGATGGTGATGGAGTCATCGACGAAGAAGGGGTAGAAGGAGGGGAGGGTGCCGGAGCCGGTGCTGAAGAAGGCAAAAACGTTATCGCTGACGGAGGTACCGATGGGGTTACTGCAGAAGGAGCAGGAGGCGATGATGGGACAGCGCCAGGTGCACTAACTGATCCTTGTGCATTCACTTGAGTGCAAAGGATCATCGCAATGAAGAAACAAACGCTCTTCGCCATCTGAACTGGTATATCTTAGGACTGAAAATGCTCAAACGACCTGCCAGAAGCAATTCTAACACCAATGCTGTTATCAGTGAAGGTAAGGAATCACCAAAATCAATCGAGCTGTAAAGATCTCAAAGATTTGAGTGGAATAGCTACTAAATATTGAGTGATAGACTTACCCGAGAACCTTGATTAATGGATGCAGTTTTCTTTGATGCTACACCCGGCAGTGCAAAATGGCCAGCCTTTTTCTGAGGAGCTAAGCTTGCTGGATGCGGCAGGGAAGAAGATTACTGATTCGGATTGCTAATCTGAGTTTGGCACTCTCTAGTTTATAGTGTCCCGAAGGCATCGCATGGAAAACCTCAACCATAAGCTACGCGACCGTGAGCAGGCAATCACAGATGCGTCAGTAATACATCTCTCCACAGTTCTGCTACGTCATAGCTTGCACAAATCACGCCAATACTGGAAATGAGTTGACAGCTTACTGACAGCACATGTTTTATATGAAATGACGAACAGAAACTCAACGACATGCATGCATTCTGCTAGCTTCGACTGGGCCCTCACGAGTTTCAAATTCCATCATTCGTTCAGCGAAGTATGCAGGCATTTACTTCAGACGGATCGTGGAGGAGAAATATTTCATATCAATATTATTCATGCCGGGTAAACGTCGAGAATGACCAGAAGCTGATGTCTACTACAACGATTTTGTCCAGGCTAGAGAAAACATAAGTGCATTCTAATCTGATTGTGGAGATATGACTGTCGAGGAACGCTCATTCACAATTAGATATAATTTGATGGTGGTGATATCAATTCCTTCTTAGGCTTCGGAAAGTGAAAACTTTGATTCATACATCTTCCCTAAATTGTAAAATCCAAGATAAAAGCATAAGAGGAAAGTGAGAGATGAAATGTATGAACTGTATCAGTGGACAGGCTCGTCTCGATGAGTTATGTTAGTGACAATGATAGGCTACAGCGCATGCGCTGAATTTGAGCTGTAATTGAGAGTCCGATCTAGACAGAACCATGTACACCTGTACAAGGCTCGATTGTAGTGATTTCGTGGTTGCTCTGATTCGAAAGGCTCCACTGAATCCTTACTTCGACTGAAAGCATCTGTACCAGGTTTCTCTTTCGCCTGTATATCACGCAGTCATCACAACTATGAAATCAACATACCATATGAACGTGAAAGCCTGCAGGAATTGGGCCCAGAACTTCAGCGTTTTCAGTTGCAACCTTTCGATCTGTCTGAGGTCTGAGCGGTAGATTTCGCTGATTGCATCAGCATTATAGAAGACTTCTGAGAGCTGCAGTGAAAGTGCAAGGTATGCAGCAAGAGAGGCTAAGAAGGCAAACTGGCCCAGCAAGCCCGCACAAAAATTATACCAACTAAACATGTATACGAAAGCACAGAGTCTAAGCAGGAAACGCGAAATTACCATCTTCCCAGTTTTAAGGATCAGACCGAGTCACTATCTTTGCAGAAGTCACGGCCGTAGTGGCCACGACCTCTGCCAGCTGCAGTGCCTGGACAAAATAAAATTAATTAGAGAGGTACATGGAATGCACGAGAAAATTCATGAAATAGACCTCGCAGGTGAACATACCGACGAATATCGATTGTCCCTGGCTATAACTTGTGTAAAGCAGTCGTCCTGCAAATAGTTTAGTGGAGGCTATAATCATGACCTCCAGAGAAATAGCTGTATCCCAATAAAATAAGATTCACTACCATTTACATCTTCTACACGCCTACACTCTTCCTTCGAGATCCATCAATATACTAATATTCATGGCTCTCGTCGTTGAATCTAGATACCATATGTTGCCATCGTAACGTACTTCCTCTCTTCGAATTGTTATACAAATCTAGGCAGTGTCAGTATCTGAGGATTTTTCAGCCGAGACTGCACGATTCTTCCTACGTTCCTAATATTCTCGAGAATTGTCTACTTAAACTTGGAAGAATTGAAGCAATTTTTTCCCTTGTCCTCTTACTCTAAAACATTAAACGTGAAATGCCTTCCTTTATTACATCTGTAGCTATTTTAAGATTATTTGCCCCTTCTTGATTCACATCCTCTCTTAATAATTAGGCATATGTGCTTCTTATTCCTCCCTCTCAAACGATGTAGAAAAAGGGACCACCTTCTCATACTTTTCACAGTCACTTGATCTTCAGTAAGAGCATCAACTGAGAGCGCAAGAGGCCTAGACTTTCCAAAATACGTGCGGTCTTGAAAGGAGGGTGAATGATTATGCCTTTTTCACCAAAGGCATGATCATTCACCAGATATGCGATCACTCTACCGATATGTTCATTAAAGCTGGACGTAATCATCTTTGCCCATTTCAATCACACATACTCAAAGATACCAATCTTATTTCCATATTTCAGAAAGTTCGACAAGTTCCTCCTCATCCTGGCTTTTCTTGACCTGATCCAAGGTCTTCTTTGAAAGCCTCTCGATCACCATGTGATGTCGTGTAAAAAATCTGATCTTCAAAACAGTGCTCAAATATTTCAGTTTCTTGATTCAACTTCCCAAGTCAATAGAGCCTCAGAACCTCAAGTAACTAATCTTTGTCAATCCAAATGTTAACGATACATCATCGTTTGAAGCTCAGAAGTTCATTGTGGTCTCAAGCTTTCAATCTTTCAACTGTTTTCATATATTGACTCGGATATTATAAAGATGTGTCACCAGCTGTGCCTAATGATCCTATTGATTAAGCGTAGCTCTTTAAAACTCTTTCTTTATGTCTTTTACTTTTCTGAAATCTTCTAGATTTATAGCTAGCAGTACTTTATGGTTTTAACAAATCAGGAGATTTGGTAAACCCAAATTCCTAGCTTGCTACCATTTGTAATATGTATCAGTTGGGCTATAATTCTAAGATCAGAGTTTAGATAAAAGTTTCCACGCATGAAGTGAGACCGGATCAAGATTCAATCTTTTTTTAACTTTACAAAGGTTTTGCCAGAATTCCAACATTCTAGGATCGTATCAGTTGTAATAAACTTATCATTTGCAAGGTGTGTACTTCGCAGTCTAGCATTATGTACAGACTTCTTGGCTTAAACTACGAAGTCTATATAACCATAAACCTGATCTGCAAGTTAGTTAGGGTTACCAAAATTTATTTGAGCATTAAATTAAGTTAGTTCTTATGTTTGATGTAACTCAAATCACTTTCATATCAATACACATTTCATACATATACTTGAACTCAAAAATTTATTTAAGAACTGTTCGGACTAAAGGTTTTATATATATCACCTGTAGTTATTTCCAATTAAAAAACAGCAGATGACTTCAGAAGAATTCACTCATCCTCTCTAGCCAGAAGAGAAGTATCCAGAGCGTAAGATATGCTTTGTGTTAAACTTTGTCTGACTGCTGTGTAAGGCGATAGAACGGCTTCACACTTATTCGTCGGACTTTATCTTCAAATGATCTTCACTTTCTGCCCGACGGAAGGGTGTATAAAGTTTGATATGCAGCAATTGCTGCTCGGAAAGAACATGACCTACGATCATCCAAATACACTCAAGCTATAACTACATAAAATTAAGCGTCAAGTACTGGATAGAGCCAGTCTTCGGGAGAGTTGTGTAGGCTGCTGTGAAAGTTTCTCTTCTCGGGTTCTCGGAAGTATGTTACAGGGTATTCCAACAGTACACGTGAAACATCTCAAGCAGAAGCTCGTTTACTTATGCTTTCTCATAAATATTTATTATCTCCTACAGGAGCTACAGGAGAACATATTTCTGTGCCAAGTCAGGATATGCGTCTTGGACTTTGTATATTACCAATTGAAAATAATCAAGGTAGTTATGGAAATAAATAGAATCCATCAAAATAGTATGTTAGTAAAAACTATTTTCTCAAATTCCCCATTGTTCTAGTTGTGATAATGTTTGTCGAACTCCTCTACAAAAACAGCATAATTTACATATTTCCTTATGGCCTCGATGGCATAGAAATTTACGACTAATAAATTTACTAAACCAAGAAGGACCTACTGAAATCCAATATGAACCTTTTGGAAATAATTTTTAGATTTATGAACATTGCCAACTTAGAAAAAATAGAAACCAAGAAATTATTAGCACTTCTATTTGTACAACAGCTGGACGTACTACTGTATTGTTAATCAACAAATTGAAGAAGCTATACAAGGTACTTATAAAGCATCCCAATAAATGTACGAACCAGTCCTATCATACAGGGCTGGCTGGGGTCATCGATCATTCTGATCATTGAAGGCCCAAGCCTTAGAGATATAAGAGATCCTACGTTCGAATACAACAAGAATCTCGACATGTGAGATGCTGGCAGCAAAACCACTTTCTCGAAGGCCTGCCGAGTCTTTCATACGATTCAGCACTCGGCTCAACGACCGGTAACTGGTACTTGCAATAGTCTCAGATATCAACCTGAAGTTCTCACACACTGATCTTCTTGAACCTTTCTCTGGCTCTGAGTGTCAGCCTCTACAAGAATGATGAACGTTTTAAGTAGCCTCGGACCTTCCATCATTGACCACTTTAGCCCAGGAACTGTGAGCAGCCGTGACAACCGGGAGTTGACCTCGAGGCCTGGACATTCCAGGGAATAAAGTTTCTACTTGAGATAATGCCCACGCCGAGACGTTAACCGCAATTAACAGGAGATTTGATAAAAAAAATCATTCTTGCATGTATCCAATGTGCTGGTCGAGAAATTTCCTGTATTCCGATCCGTGAAGCGAACAGCGTTTGTGGAGATTGGCGTAGGCTGGAAGCGCATGCTGCATGCCTAACCATGTGATCCCTGTGCGTGAAACCAATCATGTATGGCTGTGTCCTGAATCATATATAGTTAGCACAATTGGTAATCTCTGCCGAGAAAAGAATCAATTTAGCTGAGCGTTTCTTCTGCCACTTGGAAAGGTTAGAAGTTTGGTGATTTAATATTGCAAATCAAGTTCCTCAACTTTGATGACTTTTGAAGAGGAGGTTCCTGTAAATTGACAATCACCTTATCGCCATATAGCCTAGCTTCTATTGGTCGAAAACTAGAATTTCTATAACTTCCCCATCCCTTCCTACTTAGTCGCAAGTCCACATGTCTGTAGAACTCGTTCCTCTGTCCGAGTCTTGGTAGGAACTTTAGGGAACCTCAGGGAACTTCAACAAGGCTATATCCTTCCAAGATCAATCTACCAAATGTGCATGTAATCTGAACCCAAGCTTCTACCTTCATCAAAGACGCCCTAAATTTTACGACAATCCTACCACGTGGATCGATCCAGTAGGAGTTTTTTATCCTCCCGGTCTATGAAGTTGGGCAAGTCCTGCACCAGCAGCTGCGTGCTTAAAGCTAGTTCTCGAGCTCTTCTTTGTTCATAGCTGAAACAGGGAGGGAACTATGTTCGAGATCGTATCGAGATTGATATATGCCAACTTGGTTCTGTCCCAGCTAATGGCCGGAAGGATTGGCAGCTTTCCTGCCATTCCCTTGAATCCGCTTGAGATTGCAGCAAAGGTTTTGCAAGCTCTACTCTCCAAAGTTTTGGTGTCGTAGATTTTCGACCACTTGGCGATAATCGCTATTGCGGAACACCCGATGCCTCTCTCCCCCGTAAAGTGTGATGCTCGTACATCACACTTCATTAACAAAATCTATCCGAGTTTTTTCCACCTGATGGATACTATCTCCGTCAACCTTGTTCCATGAGGTGAAGGCAGTCAGCAAAAGAATGAGAAGTCGGACAATAATTATTATGGTATTGCGATTCTCTGATGAAACGGGGTGAACCAGTCAAGAAGAAAAAATCAGATCATGAAACAAATTGCACGAATCGCACAGGTTCAGACTTAAGCAGAAATGAAACTCGTGAAATAGATTCACTTCAAATAGTAATGGGAAAAACAGTACTGAACTATAAGCGCATGTCATCAAATCTTAGAAGAAGAAAAAGACTTCAAGCAGTGTACTAGGAATTATGTAAAACGTGGGATTAAGTCGGTCATTAATCGTCACCTTCGAATTTGATTGTGATCATTTACTCCATACAACCGATACAATTATTAACTATATATCTGTAGTCTTGGAATCAGTTTAAACAGATTCAATATCCTAGTACTTGCTTATATAGAGATGAGTTCATCTTGTAAAATGATGAGACCCGTGACATGTCCTAATAGGCAGCAGCCGCCACAAAAACACCAGATACAAGCACAACTGTTGTCCATCCAAAGATGCTCTGCTTCACTCCATGGCTCTGCAATGAATCAAAAGTTGGCTCAGCACAAATTGTATACACAAAGACTAGACAACTTTTTCTCTAGATAAAAAAACATCGTGTCCATCCTAAGACCAAACAAAATTTGATGAGACCAGACTCCTCTTACTGTACTTGATCAAGTGATCGAGACGGTCCATTTGCTTTGTAAAGCTAGCTGCTCATGTGATTAGTGTGCTGAAGAAATAAATTACACCTGAAATGCATTCTATCATTTCTGTACTCATGTGTTAGAAATATTCTCCGATCACTTATATATTTATAGAACTTATATCTGAGTGCAGAACAATACAATATATCTTATGTACTACATCAAAAACACGACCAAGGAAACGTAATATTTACCTTCTCTTGAATCGGTGCGGGGGCTTGTGCGAAGATGGATAGTTTGGGTGCAGCCGCTGCTGGAGAGGGAGTGGGGCTGGAAGAAGGCACGGGAGTTGCCGAAGGAGTCGAAGAAGGTGAGAGCGATGGAGTCACGGAAGGAGATAGTGAAGGCACAGAAGACGAAGGAGTCACGGATGGAGTTACAGCAGGAGGAGATGGAGGAGAAGCTGCGGAGATGGGAGGGACAGCAGGTGCACTAACTGGGGCACTAGCTGGAGTCACCGAAGGAGTCGCTGCAGGAGGAGCAGGAGGGGATGTGGCTGAGGTCGGAGGCACAGCAGGTGCACTAACTGGTGCACTAGCTGGAGGCAGTGGAGTCACAGAAGGAGTAACTGCAGGAGGAGCAGGAGGGGATGCGGCTGAGGTCGGAGGCACAGCAGGTGCACTAACTGGTGCACTAGCTGGAGGCAATGGAGTCACCGAAGGAGTGACTGCAGGAGGAGCAGGAGGGGATGCGGCTAAGGTCGGAGGCACAGCAGGTGCACTCACTGGAGCACTAGCTGGAGGTGATGAAGTCACAGACGGAGTGACTGCAGGAGGAGCGGGAGGAGAGGCTGCTGAGGTTGGAGGCACGGCAGGGTTGCTTATCGGTCCTGGAGACGATGGAGTTACAGCAATAGGAGCAGGAGAAGATGGGGCCGGGGGAGATGCTGTTGAAGTCGGTGGTAGAGCAGGTCCACTGACTGGTCCTGGAGTTGGACCCTGCCCGTTCACTTGAGTGAAAAGGAGCATTGCAATGAAAAAGCTCATGCCTTTCATCATCTTCAACGCCATTGTGTATGTCGGTACTTTCTTGAGAAACTGAGTGTTTACTGAGGGGACCTGTCAGGCAAGAAGGTTGTGAGGTATACATGTATTGTACAATGCCAGCATTACCTTGAAACAAACTAGTGATAACTTCACATCCAGTGTCCAGCTGCACTGTCTCCTACAGCAGTTCTCCACACGAGGCATCAAAATGTAAGTGAATTATATAATGCAGTAAATTCACCTGAAAACTTGATGTACCACCACGCTTGTTGTGAAACTTTCTGCACCCGGAGCGATAGCAAGCCTTTCTCAAGCAGCCAAACTTGCTGTATGCACCAGGTGAGAGGAAAACTGAATGATTAGAGGAGCTGAGATTCCATCGTTTATAGTGTCTTGAGGCCAAAAACAACCGAACTAGATGGGATCCGATCGAGCTTGTATTAAGGAAGTTATGACAATGACGCGCCAGCAATACAATGATGTACAGTTTCAATTTGTCATGCTTTGCTGAAATTACGCCAATGTCGAGCATGAATGTGACAGGGCAAAGTCCACATGAAACACCCGATTCGAAGACCAGACGGTTAGTCACATGCGTTCAACCTGAATCATGCCGAGTTGACAGCTAAAGGTTGCAGGATGATTTACGAAAATTCTTATCTGCATCGGACATCTTCTGAAAGTTCAAGATGATTCATATCCTACAGAGTGTAAGGTACAGAGAGATTTGAAGGAAGAAATATGCTATACCTCGAAGTTGGGATCTGCATTGATAGACCTGAAAGTTCGAGTTGCCTAAATTTGTTCGCTAAAACCGGTGTTTAGAGCAGGATAGATGTGCCCACCCCTTCTCTCCAAGTTGAAATATCCCTCTAAATTTTGACAAAAAACATTTGAACTCAGAAGTTATAATTTTTAGCTCGATATACAGGCAATTAGGTAGAAGCGATGCTGACTGGATCAACTTTTGTGGCAAAGGGCAGTGAAAACTAGAGGACGGAAGCTGAATGCAGTGTCAATTCATCTTCCTGCAAATGTGATTCAGTTTTGACCGGATCATTTCTAGATGTTACAATTTGTTTAGTTTCCAGAGACATTTTATCGACAGTTACTGCTTATCGAAACAGGAACGGCTCCATGCTGTGGTTATGTCTGTCCTGATTCCTCTTCTGTATACCATACACAAGATAACGGTAAAAATCTTTGATACAAGCTCATAAAATTTTCACAATTTCCATATTTTTTCACTGTAATAAATGTTTACTAGGATGCAATATCGTTTCCACCCGTGGTAGCTGTAATGAAGAATTTAGAGTCATCAATTCCTCAGATTCGTATAGTCATAATTCATCTTCACATTTCTTCTTACGTTATAGACGCAGTGGTGGAAGTAATTTTACATTTTTCACTTCTTCCATAATTTTTCGCCTTGACAATTTAGAAGAGTTTCATTTGATTTCATTTTTTTCCCTCGCAATTTCCATCATTTTTCGCTAGAGAAGTGTAATAGTTCATGACTTTGATTTTCCCTCCCGATTACGATTTTTTCGGTTTACGCATGTACACGTTTTCTCGCGTAATAATTTGTTAGCGTAAGTGTTTGTGTTTACTATCTTCACCACTTTCTCCATCTTGTCTAGACGTTGAGTTGTGACGTATCAATAGACATCATTTTCATCCTTGATGCGTATGACGGTCCCTTTATCTTCCCTTCTTATGGAATTTGTAGGTAGCATTACAAACTTGAGCTCCGCTTTGACATTTACACGTCAAACCTTTCTTCAAAATTGTTCCTTATGCTCAGCTTTTCGAATGTAACGCACGTCTCTATTTCCACTGCAGCGTTGAAGGGACAATTGGCCTGACTTTATTTCATACTTTTCACAACGCCATTTCTCCCTTAAAGATGTATACACCTTACATCAGGAACAACTGTCTTGGCATAACAATTCATATGAGCTTACAAACTTCATTCAAGATCTCACACTTGATACAGTTCGCTCACATCACATTTCTAACAAGGACAGAAACTACTTGCATGCTTTCCACCAGTTGCAACACGAACATAAAGTGCAACAAAGAGAAGAACACTGTTCAAAGTCTTTCTTCTTCAACACGTCATAACCTACTTTTTGCGCGTGCACAAGTGAATAATAATTTGAGAGTTTAAATGAACTCTCTTTGCTTTCAAAAATAAACGTCCGCTTCCACAATCGTGGGCAAAATGTAAATGTGGAGGCAGAACAAAGTGAAACAAGACTTCTAAGCGCAAATTTTCACAATTCCAATGATTCCTGGACTAAATGTTTTCTATCTTTCACGTATTCACCTGTAACTGTGCCGTTAGGGACAGCTCAATACAGTACATATCTACAAAGGAACGAGAAAACCTACCTTCAGATGTAAAAATCATACATATTAAGCTGTACCTGGCGGTGCAGTTCCTAGTCCATTATAAACTGGTGGGTCCTTGGAATACCTCACCTTTCCTGGTGCATATCTGTACCTCTTCCTTCTGATATATACCATCCACAGAAGAATCGAGAGCATGGCTCCACCCGAAACGAGGATCAACCCCACCCAGATCCATTTGCAGTACTTTCGAAGGTCATGGCAATATACACCTTTGATCTCAGTAAATGTGTCTCGCACAAAGCTACAATTGGCCACACTCACGAGGAAGTTCGCATCAGTGAACAAACTTTGGCCAACATCGGTTGCTGTCGTAAGCTGTCGGTATGTAGAATTCAGCAGCCTTCCTTGGGTTTGGCATATTCCGCCGCTATCCGCGACACATATATAGCTCGACCAGTTCTGCAGCCCACTTTTCATCAGATTCTGCCTGATCGAATTACCATGGAATCTACAAATCTCAAAACCGAGGCACTCAGACATATCAGCCTCTATCAAGCAAGACCAGCCGGACCGACATTTCCAATGAACCTCCTACAAGTAAGACGGGATGGATGGACCACTTACAGCAGGTGCAGCCTCAAAACTGAGTTGCCCGGGAGTGCAAGGGAGCAAGTTAAAGTCAGGAGACGGGCCATAGATATCGCAGAGGGTCGGCACGAGCGGGCCTGACTGATTGTAGTACGTGGGTGTGCCCGGAGGGAAATTCACATTTGCAACGTTCGTGATTCCATTGTTAGCCAGAGTAATAATTTTGTCAGTGTAGTCTCTGCTGTTGTCGAGCGCTAAGTCCGCTGTCGTAGGATCAGCACAAGGCAAAATCTGATCCAATGTCGTGTTGGCAGAAGGTCTCTCCACCCACTCACCCATGGCAACACATGTGTCTCCCAGAGTACTGCGCAATGTGAAGACAGGCGTTGGTATCCGTACAGTATTGAAGAAAAAAAGTCCTCAGCTAAAGGAGCAAGTGTAACCTCTTCGGAGGTGAATACAATACAACAGAGTGGTGATCTTACTTGTTCAAAAGGATGAAAATTCCGCACAAAATCCAGGTTCCAGTCACCAGAATCCACCCGAGGAACACCAATCTGCAAGGATAACGATTGAGTCAAAAAAAAGGGACTCTCACCACTAGAAATACATTTTAAATTGCAGTAATCAACAAACGGATGACGACAGTACATGAGAGTGAGCATAAACAAACTCCAGGATCGGAACACTTACAAATACACAACCGAACGAATTCCGCAGGCGGCGAATACTGAAAATGATGAAGACAGCCTTAGGATGTCAGTGAACGAAAGTAACTACTCGAATGCTAATAGTTCTGATCACTCATAGAACAAGATACCGTCGATACCGAAGTGACTAGTGCTTGCACAAAGACGAAGGCGAAATTGGGAGGAAACAACTGGGATTTCAAAGCGTGAAAGCTTACACAGGCCGAGTATAACCAGGAACAGCATGACAGCTGCAACCACCATAAGCGAAATTCGCCTGTAACGCAGAACATCGGTGTCAGAAACAAGAGAAATTTGTTGAAAATGGAAGTTGCTCGGTGGACTAAGATGGCGGTCGGAACGGAGATAATCAACTTACACAATGTTGATATAGTGTTTGATGTCGCGGGCATTGTCAGCTGTGTCTCGTTCCAGCGTATTGGCTGAACTGTTGAGCTGCCTATTTAAGTTCCCAATTTCGGCTTTATCGGCGTCGCTCAAGGTGAACAGATTGTCGATGTTGATCTCCGCTGCCCTAGTCAAATTTCGCGAAACCCGTCGCAGACCCTCCTCTGTGCTGTTCGACTGACGAACAATGAAATCCAGGGTATCTTCCAGATGGTTGTTGAATTTGGCCTGGCCGTAATACAATACCACGCACCCCGCTCTGCAGTCAATCAATGCTCGCGTCAGATGCACATCAATCGCAGTTGGTTCCATCAAATTTTACATACGGACCAGCTTTTCTGAGAATCGAAGACCGCTCGACACAACCTCCTCCCACGAACGCCTAGCAAAATCATTTGCCATGTATTTGCGCACAGAAATTTCCAGTCCGTCAATGCTCGCTGCTAACTTAATTAGTGTTTGGCCATGTGACAAAACTCCAGCTAGACTCTACCGATGAAACGAAGAGCAAGGGTCGATAACTCACATTGCGACTGCAGTGAAGAAGACGAGCAAAATGATGGGGATGATGTAACCACATTTTCCGTGGTCATACTCTGGCTTGCTTCTGGAGCCGCAGAAGCAACAGCAGCAGAGGAGGAAGAGCAGCCCCAAGAGCCCCAGGGCGGCCCAAATGATGGCGACGATGAAGGCAGGCAGTCCAGTGTATCCTACGGACTGATGAAGGGAACAGAAGCAATTATTTAGTCAGAACGAGTTCTCTGAAATCAATGCCAGACCTGTGAGAAACACAATTGAGCTCATCACACCCGAGACTGGGCAGTCCGGGGGCGTCAAACTACTTCCGAAAGACAAAGAGTGGATGGAAGCATGGCTCGTGGGTAGAGGCGGGTAAATACCGCCCAGTAGTGATCGTTTTGTATATCCCATCCTCCTCTGTATTTGTTGAAATGGTCTAAGGGATCACGTCTCGCTGTGCGATTGGCTGCCAGAATGAAACTGCCATTCATATCGACCATGCCATCGTCGGCTGCCTGCAGAAGGTGCCTCATCACTCCTTGCACCGCCAACTTGTAACCTTCATGGCCTACACACGAACACGAATACTCAAAACCTGAAACAATGGATTCCTCGTTCGACTCGTGTGATGGGACACAGAACAACCCTGAAACCCTCCAAACGAGGAGACCTGAGAGGACGGGGTACGTCCAGAAGGAGGACAGTCACGATATTTAGCTCTGCTGGAAGTTGATCGATCGCAAACAAAATGGACCCGACATCACCAAGACCATCCAAGTTTCCAAAACCTTCTCAGTGTTTGATGACATTCAATAGCATCGCTGAATTTCTCAACCTTCCTCTTGCAAATGTCCAGGTCATGTAGCTGACACAAGTCATGACAGACAGACCCTCTCCAGCTTTCGAGAACAGCTTTCTGACCAGTGTCTGTCAGACTCACTACTGTGTTCCGCAGTATTCGATCACCAACGAGCTTTCAGTCTCGTGAGGACCTCGTTCTCTGACCTCTTCTCCGACGATGTAGAGAGAGTAGAGTGCGTGAGACAAACAGTGATGTGCTGCTCGGATATGCGGACGAAGGAAAGAAAATTGCAGCGACCACACCTTTCCAACGACGTGCAATGTTCAGTGCCATCGCATGTGAACCCGTTGGTATGTGGGAGGACAGGTCCACTCCACCAATGGCGTGTATGTGTAGCTGACTTTCCTCCCCTCCCTCCCTGCAGTCACTCTCGACATCCTCGAAGCTAGTGACGACTAGGCAACGGAGTACAGGCCCCCAGTCACAATCTTGGGTGGAAGAGTCAACGAGTGACACAATTGCACCTACGACCTGGGGAATCACTGACACTGAGAAGATCTGCTGCATAATCAGCACACATCTTCCGTGCACGTTCAGAAGTGCTCCTGGACGGGAAACGCAAGCGCATCCCCGTCGGACAGACCTCGAACAGTTCTATCGTTCGAGGACACGGAGACGCGGTGATCTCGACACATGGAAACTGATTGGGGTCTCTCTGCGTGATTACGGAGAACTTGAGTCCCGCACGGCAGCATCAGTGACGACTTCAAAGACCCCAGCTGAAGTTCCTCACGAGAGGTGTCTGCGTCGAGTTCATCTTGCACAAAGAAAGACCGCATTTCTTCGTGCAATCTCTGCAACGAGACTCAGTCATGCAGTCCGGTGACTCGTGCACTCGTCGCTCGTTTCTTACAGAGGTTTAATTTCAGTCACATTCTGCAATCAATGAGGCATGGGGCGAAGTACTTACTGAGAGGGACATCTTCGTCTTCCACCCGAGAGAGTGATAAGGAAGATCCAGCCACACAGAGAGCGAAAGCCTGCACGACTATAAAGAGGAACGCGATATGCTTCCTACCGAACCCACCACCACTACGACAAGCCCGAACTTCTGTCATGACGTCTTCTCCACAGCCAAGCTCAGTGTACCATTCCACTCTGACTAAAAATCCTCTCTTGTTCCTGCTCCTCCTTTCTCTTCAATGTGGGCTGCGCTGCTCTGGGTCGTTGAGCTCTGCTCTACTCTGGCCTCCACTGCTGCAGCAGCAGCAGCAGCTCGTATGCTTGCTTGATTTGATCCAGACACTCCACAGCAGCAGCGGAGATGGCAGAGTCCGAAAGTATGGGAGAGACTTTCGATTGTAAACGAATACTATGATCGGGGGCAAGGATCACCACTGACAGAAGACCAAGCTGCTAACGAAAACCCACACAGCGACAAGGAAAGAAGTGAGGCAAGCCAACACGGAGCTAACGGACTGAACTAACAGGAAGGAAACGGGATGGGAGAACCAGACAATCAGATGTAACTAATGTCGCAACTCCAACGAGTTCTCTCCAATCTTGAAGATGCTGATGAGAGGGACGAGGGAGGGGGAACGTGTGTGAACGAGATTCTGAGATTGTGGGGAGGAAAGAAAGAAGGAAGAGGGCCGTAGAGAGGGGGAAGAAGGTGACGAGGATTCCGACTGTGAGTTGCGACAGATCACACTCTGTAAGTCTGCAGACTCTGCTGCGAGTGTACTTACGACCCGTGGCCAAATCGAGCCTGGTACTTAAACCATCGAATGCGGAAGAGAGGAGGCGATGACCAGTGACCGGGCAAGTCGGAGAGGAGGGCCAGCAGGAGGGCAGCCAAGCGAGCAGCCAGAGGACGGCCCCAGGAAAATTTGCACTGAAAGTGCCTTTCGCTTCCTCGAGTGCGGGGTCCTCGGCCCGCTAAGTGTTATCCCCCACCCCTCCCTCGATCTGTGATGTTCTGTACTTACTGCACGGAGGCCCCCCTCGAGACTCGAGACCCCGAGTCTCAGATCAACGGATAGATGGTCAGGTGCGTTCAGACGTTCAGAACACGGAGTCTGACAAAAATACGGCCGTTCGCAGCGTCCATCGTGTGAATGCGCCAGGAAGTGAACCACGTAATCATTGCATCGCATTCAGTCCATGTCAGCGGAGTAGCCGATCACGACCTGCCGGCATTGTATTTCTTGTATTTTATCCTGGGACGCGATGTATGGGGCCCTTTGAGAAACTGTCTCGAAGTCTCGACGTCGTGCCTGCACGGATTTTATTATCCTTTAAGAGCTCGAGTTCCTTCCGAGCACTTGTTGACCGAGGGAGGTTTTTGAACTATCCCATAGAAAGACTACGTTCTCTTTGGGAGCTAAGATCTGCAAAACCTTCCCTTATTATTTCTGAAGCATTGAATTGCTCCCGTTTGTATTTGCGATGTTATAAATCTTCCGAGTGAGCTTCTCATTCATGTGAACACAATAAGTAGACAGAAAATATGCGCATTCTTCACGAGAAATCTCCACATGACTTCCCTTGGATTAGTATCTCAACCTCTCAAAGTACAGCTTGCCTCTATTCAAACAAGATAGCACCAGCAATTGAGAATATTTCTTCGTGAACATATTTCAGACACAAGAATGAAAGCGACAAATAACTTTGGGCCTAGCTCGATGCTACCGGTTTGGTTTCATCCATGTGCTAATTGATGAGGACTTTTCATCTATATTTTCTATAATACTCGGCGCATTTTCTCTTTCGCACGCAAATAACATATTGAATTATCATTCGCTTGACAAATAGCAGATTCGAGGTTTTATTTGGTTTGAAAGGGGCCGAGCTTTGCCGAGAACACAAACGTAACTCAAGTATCTTAAAGAGATTAAACTCAGACTTGGCGTCCCCTTCCAACATACGGAGAGCCCTGATCTCATATTACATACGGTATCTGATGTGCAAGAACAACAAGTATAGTCTGGCGAAAATTTTGATACATGCCTCAAGACTTGTACCGTCAGGAAGATTGAATGTTTTAGCGCTTTATGACCTCTACGTGAAATGTGCGAAAAGGAGGTGCTGAAATTATGATGATGACGACTCGCGATCTCGGACAATAAGAGGACGGCATGAAGATTCTGTGTGAAAGGTATTGTACTTGTTCAGCTCTGTCGCAGATATAAAATGCCCCGGATATTGCTGCGACATAAACTTGTAAAGTGTGTACATGAAGAAAGACAGACCATGATGAAACTCGAAACGAACATGAATGGGCAGGGCATGAAAGTTGAAGTGCCAAGTAAAATAGCAAGCAGGATGTAAAGACCCTATCCAGTCGAACATGGATGAGGGGGTAACATGCCTTGCTTGGTCTAGGCCCAAGGCATGAAAGTAGACTTTGTACAAGCTTCATCTCAGATGCGTTCCCCCTTCGAGAAACGAATAGCAAAGGTATTCATCGCTTCTTGGATGAGAACGACCCTCCACTCATCAGATACGACCTTATTTGTTCACCTGCTTTCCTTGGAACTATGTCCAGTATGCACCTGGTGAAGAAGTGATTATACAAAGTTTAACAAATTGTAGCTATGATCCAAGAATTTAGACCAGAGCAGAGCATTTTTTAATGCAGAGCAGATTTTCAGCCCACCATTGAAAAACACTTGGTTTTGCGGGCCACGGCATTAATATAATGGCATCAGTCCATCGTGTCAGAAGTTTGACGATGAGCAAACTTTAGCAACCCGTGAATGGTCAAAACAGCTAAGGAGTTTGCGGAGATACCAACTTCCCTAGCGGATTATCAGAAGAATAGAAAGGGCAGCAGTATTTTCATCAAATCTCCAGGTGTGGGAACAGTAGAGATTCAAATTTCTTCGGACGCGTTTTGATTAGCAAGAGTTTGGGACAGTACTCTCAACAGATGAGAGGAAACAACGGGGAAAGCTATGTTGTAGAATATTCCGCTGTTGGTTTATTGCGGGAGAGTTGGAATCCCTCGGTAAAAATTTATATAATCGCCGGAGATTAGATCCGGATTTCTCCAGGTTGCCAATCGAATCCTATTATCTAGCAGTTGGCAAGCAGGCTAATTGCAAATTGCGTTATGTAGAAGTTCATGAGATATAAACATCAAGTCTCGTGAACTGATAATCTTTCTTCTGACGATGGATCTTCTCTCGCCCGCCGATAGAAGTGGAAGTCTCTTCATGAGACTTCTTAGCGCTTCAAGGGTGTAGCAAAGCATGTGGCGAATTTTGTGGAATCCGCTACAAAAGTTTTAACCACAAGGGCCGCAGTCATTCACCTTTCGTGCACCAAGGATCAAGCTACTGAAAACCTATGTCCACATTCCCATGGATCCCTTCAAGTAACAAGAACAATGCAGCGTAAGAGTTCCGAATAATAAATACCTTTCGAAGAAGACAGAATTCTGGAGTTTGTGACGAAGTAAACTTGAGTTTGTAGGGAGACATAGTCGCGATTGAATGTTTCAATACTGTAAAGATGACGCTATATCGTTCGATAATGGAGGGCGACACAAAACTGCGAAGCTAGCACCAAAACACATTTTGAATGGTGCGTTGCAATATTGGTCACAGAACTGCACTTTCTTTATACGACTTAAGGATTAAGTTACTCGTTTTCACTTGAGTGCATTTTCAGCTCCCTTTAAGTGACGTATTAAATTTGGATGAAAACAAGATATTAAATATTGCCCGGAACCTGCTCGAGTGCTAAGCTGTTCTGTCACATGAATGCTCTTTCAGCTCCACATTTGAATGGGGCATTTAAATATTGATCAGAATACTTAATATTCTCGTTATGCTCTTTGGAGGCGAAGTTGTTCGTGTCACATGAATTGTCTTTGAGTTCCACATTGTGAATGGGGCATTAAAGTACTGATCAATTATTTAAACTTGTCGGATACGAACTCGTTTTGGTCACGCGAATGACATTTCATTCCGAATAAAATAAAGGACAACTTCTCTTAGAACGACTCTATCTTCTGAAGAGAGAAACGAGGAGGAAAAGGAGTAAGAGATGTAACGAACAAGTCCCTGGAATCAGGATACGAGTTCTTTGGGATCAAAATGCTGGTTATTAGTCACATGGCTTCTCTTCAAATATTTTGGATCTCCCTGTAGGATACACTTAACCTATTAATCGATTTCGATGGGGGCTCAGAAGAGCACGTTGAGCCAGGTATTGCTCATATAGATAAAGCTTTTCATTCTTTGGCGTGTGGATCAGGCATGTGGTGTGACCCGGATCAACTTTCCGCAGTCTAATGAACTCTCACCATCGCGGAATAGCATGACCTTCATCCTCACTAGTAAAGTGAATTTACCAGTGAGAAACTCAGAAGCTGTTCCACACCTGTCGATGGGATCTTCCCTTTTTTCTTGCTACTTTACTCGGTTTCACACCAAAACATTAAAAAAAAACAGCATAAAGATCATGGCTTCCTGAAACTAAGCATGGGCACCTGACGGAAATAATAATAATACCCTTTCTGTATGAACGACCTGAAGAGTTGCAAATGGGGCTGCCTGACCTGGAAGAATACCATACCTACTCCCGACTATCATATGTAGTCCAAGTCTAACAGACAACATAACATTCCATTCCAGGTGCTTGCGAGTCGACCTATCGTCGGATCAACATGTTTGGCATCCTAGAGAACAGAATTACTTCTTTGTAGTAAATGTATACAGTGTGTTGGATCTGCATGATCTGTAATTATTGGATGTCGCGTTCCAGCTTAACAGGATGATCCCAATCACACACTTTCGATTCCTCCCCTTGCTTCACGGCCACGGTAGGGAGTCCGGATGAGGAATATTTGGTGGCGCTTCTTCAGATGCAAGGATGTCCTACTGGGAAATTCCTAATCATCAAAAGGAGAAGTCGGACGAGGAAACGTTAAAATAAGAAAAAGGATGCGAAGACCAGCATGCAGGTCTCTCGACTTTGATTTCATAACGTTCACACAGGAGCCGTTCACCACCACTCAGAGGTATTGATTTCGATATCTAGAATACGAACAAGCCCTTATCCTTTTGAGAACCCCCGAGCCAGTACGTATTCGAGCTTTCTCTCTTTTGAAGACTATGGCTTTTCTGCCATTCTTTTCCTTTATAGATCCAAGAACACTTTGTAGCTAGTAGCCCTTGTACTAAAATAATTGAAGACTTGAATTTTTAACTACTGCTTTCAGTTCTCTTAACGTAAGCAAGCTTGAAGGTTTGAATATGTTGGCTTCGAGAAGGTTGAGCACACTGAAGCTGACATCTAAAAGTGAGGATATAACATCAGTACAGGTGTTCACGTAATCTAGAAGGTCGCCAATCCCATTCCTATGGCGCTACATGCAAAGTCCTACGTTTCTTCCTATTTCTAATGCTGATTTGTAGCCTGCAGAACAGGTAATTCATATGGCATGTTCCAATCACAACACGTTTGCTAAAACGAACATGCCACTATCTGATATATAGATACTTAAGGATTTCGATATGTTCACATATCTATGTTTGTATACGCTAGCGAGTAAAGGTTCCCTAATATCCGCATCGTGATCACATGAATATTTTTTTAAGCAATTGTCTTTCTTTCTCATGCTTATATTTACTGATTCCGTAGCTAACAAAACCCGTGCCCTTGTGATATATGCTCTGCCTTCTTCATCCTTCCTTTTTGGAGAATTCTATTATGAGAAACTTAGTTTTCTAGACATTAAAGTTTGCCTTTGGACCATACTGCAAGTTTCTCAGCCCCACCTTTGTCTCTACCTTTTTGAACATGCTGGTGAAATCTGATGGCCCACATCTACAACCTTGAACACAGGCCCATATACTCCTTGACAAGACTAACGCGTCAGTGGTCTGGTCACCACGAAAACAACTCACCAACTAGACA